CTGTAGCTCAGTTGGTTAGAGCTTCACAACTGTCTCTCTGTAGCTCAGTTGGTTAGAGCTTGACAACTGGCCTCTGTAGTTCAGTTGGTTAGAGCTCGACAACTGGCCTCTGTAGTTCAGTTGGTTAGAGCTCGACAACTGTCTCTCTGTAGTTCAGTTGGTTAGAGCTTGACAACTGTCCTCTGTAGTTCAGTTGGTTAGAGCTCGACAACTGGCCTCTGTAGTTCAGTTGGTTAGAGCTTGACAACTGGCCTCTGTAGTTCAGTTGGTTAGAGCTCGACAACTGGCTCTCTGTAGTTCAGTTGGTTAGAGCTCGACAACTGTCTCTCTGTAGCTCAGTTGGTTAGAGCTCGACAACTGTCTCTCTGTAGCTCAGTTGGTTAGAGCTTGACAACTGTTTCTCTGTAGCTCAGTAGGTTCGATTCCTACCAGGGACTACAGTTGCATTTTTCGCATTCTGTTGCTTCTGGTTAGGTGGCAAAGTTAGGTATAAAACGTTTATAATGGGCCATTTGCATTACAGACTAAATTTTGATCTCAACAAGTCTAGACAAAAATTTCATCACAGCTTGAAAGAGCATCACAAAATTAGTAATATTCCGAAGTTTCGTTGCCGAAATGTTGTAAAATGCGGATAATATAGCCACGCGAAGTTTGCCGTTTTTCAGTCATTTTGTATTACGCGCGGGAAATTGACAGCCCAATCGGATGTTGGGGCATCAATTTCCCGTTTGTAATACAAAATGACTGAAAATTGCAAATTTCGCAAGGCTGTATTATCCGCATTTTACAACATTTCGCAACGAAACTTTCAAGCTGTGATGAAATTTTTGTCTAGACCAAAATTTAGTCTATAATGCAAATGGTCCTTGACACTCGAAATTTTCATTGATACAAAAAAGAACTTTAACATTTTGTTTGACATGCCCTAAATCTTGATATCTTGCAATTACCTCTATAAGCATTCATGTTTTCTTTGACAACACAGGCTAACTCTGCTAATTATGGATAGCAATGATCAAAGGCCTTCAGGGTCAAGATTCCAAGAACGTTTTTAAATGCTATTTAAAACAGCATGACTTGCGTGTTGTATTACTGAAAGATGTGTTTTCCTTGCAGGTGCGGTGATATTTTAATCAAGGCCTGAGTCCACGAGCGCTTTTTCTCGGCAAAATGCGAAACATTTCGCACGAAATGAAATCGTGCATGTGCAGTAAAGATAAATTAGGCTTCGCGAGAAAAAATTTCGCTTCGCCAGTGAGTAGAAGTCAGTTCAGTAGAAGTCAGTTCGAAAAAAGTGTGTAAATTCTGATAGAATCACTCATGTGCAGCCATCCATATTTCGCAGACACGATTTCGCGCGAAGAATTTCGCCGTCGTGAAATCAGGCCTTAATTTCCTTGTGCGCAGAAAAGCATATACCGCAAGATTCCCACATTTTCCTCGCGCGCAAAATCTTGTCCGCATTCCGCGCATGAACAACTTGTCGACGCACACATATTTTAATGACTGGCAATGTTTTGGCGCACAGCCTTAGTTATTCCATAGATAAATAAAAACTCCGGATGGGCAAGTCATGATCGCGCATACGGGGCTCTTATGTAGTGTATACTCGCAAATTCATATTTGCGCTGTTTGAAGGCGGTCAGCTGGTTTTGGTTGAAGGTAATTTGTAGATGAAAATTTCTAGTGTGAATTTTATACATTTATTTATTTTAGTACATCTAACAGTTGTGATTGCGAAAATGCAACTGCATGCCCTCGCCCTTCTGGCAGGAATTCAACCTGCGGCCCTGCGATTCATTGCCCATAGTTCATGCATACATTTCTGATAACTGATTGCCTACAGCCGCATTTTTCGAAACTGCTTCTGGTTATAGCCTATAGGTTTCAATTAAATCGGTATAAAAATTTACACTCGACATTTCATGCGTCTATTGGACTAAAATGATGTGAAGATTTGGAAACTATAAGCCCATATATACGAAACACTATATCAACCGCATACGTTTTGTTTCTTTACTTATGAAGATTGAAATTGCGATATCTAAGAAAAGTTTACGGAAAATGAAAACTGTATACTTTTTGTTCAGTATGAAATACCCGTATTCCTGTTTAGTCGGGCAGAAGAAGAAAGGTTTTAGGTAAACACCACCAAACGTATTTTTTTCTTAAATTAATCAGCATTTTGTGCCTTTCTTCACTGAAAATTTGAATTATTTGATAAAACTACATCTACGATTCGTCGTGCAAGAACGCACGTGTCTATCATCTTGATATCTTATAGAATACTGTACAATATTCCTACTGAAATATGATTATAAAGACCTGTGTATAGACCAAATGCTATATTTCTGATCTAGATCGCTGGGTCGTATAATATGGTTTCATGCAAAGTATTAGTGGATGCAAGCTAGTGAATCAACAATTAATTGTTATACAAGATTAAGCACGAGGTTAAGCATTTATTAAGTTTTTTTGCGCAAAAATTATTTTAACCAAATTGTACGCGCAAATATCTCGAATATTTTTCATTTTATCAAAATTTAGTTTTCGCCATAAAACATCACTCGCTGGGGAGAGAATTAAGAGTTTTCAAGAAGTTAAAAATAAATTTTGGTTTTGAGAAACTTCGGTAATTCACAATTTTGAATTTGTGTTTTTTGTGTATGTAATATATATATACCACAAACTGGCATTTGTGTTGTTGATTAAATTATAATTGTAAAATTATATAAAAGTATATTTATCGGCAAACAAAGGTATACAACAATATATTTCTCACGCTAGAAAGGTATTGTTTAACGGAGATAGGAGTTAAGAAAACACTCGCACTTGAGTGATATTTTCATCCGGTATATCCTGTTTCATTAACTTATTGACCTACCACTACAATATGACAATACTGGCCACTCGTTTGTCAACACAACTCAATATTGAAACCTGAGACACCGAGCATTGATCATATTTACAACGACGCGTCTTATTCTTTTTTGTATAAAATGTAAGTTTTGTGTATAAGTTAAATACATTGTACATTGCGCTTCGATTCCGCGCAGTGTCGATAGCGTTTCTGGATCTATAACAACTGTACCAAAGTACATCAATTTAAGGATTAGCGAACGCTAAAGGGCGCTTGGCATGATAAATATTTAACTTAATAAGTTTAATAAAAGATTTAGGTTTATATGGTATTTACACTTGGCGCAAGTAACTTTGCGTCAAAACCTGGAAACTGTCGCTTCAATCTACGGCGTGTAGTACGTTTGACTAAAGCGTTCTATCGATTGTTGATTCCCTAGGTTGAGAGAGTTCGCTTCGCTATAAAGAGTCTTTGGAAGGCATACTGTCATAAAATACGACCACTTGTCGCTTGACGTGCTGTTCTCCAGTGGAGTCTGTAAAGCAAGGTTGGAGAAGCGGTAACTGTGTCGCTTTTAAAGGTTCGAGGTATGTGTATTCAATTGCTTCTAGTGTTTAGAATAATACTTCATAAAATTCGTAAGCCTTTACCTAGCATGGACCGTAGCGCTAAAACAGGCTTCTAGAAAACAGGCATTGATAGTCTGCGTATTATGATTCTATCATTGAAAGATGAAACCCTAACTTCGATAACAACAGCTGGACGTTTAAAATATACAAAATATCAAGTCTTTTCTGTAGAATTAGCCTTTAACCACTGCCCTTTCGATAAACAAGAGTAAATGCTTTAAAGGCAAAGTATTTGTGCGCAGATTAATCTGTTTTTCACCGCAAAAACACGAATAAAACTGTACATTTGCGAACAAAATTTTAACGCTTCAATATATAGCATATTATATACTCTATCTTAGACTTTAATCGCGTCTTTCATTAAATAATAACAAAACTATAAACATTTTATAGTTCCGCAAACTAGCTATACAGAGTGTCTGTGCCTCTATTAGTTTATTTTCGACCGCAGTAGACACAAATAGGACCATGATCAATGTCGATTGATGTTCAAATTCATGAATTCATGTCTTTAAAGCTACACCAGAAACATTTAGTTTTATATTCCGCTATATAACAGGAAGGTTATTTTCCACACTGCCTATTTCACAAAAAGTACACTTATGATATTGCACTTTAGTTTATTTCATGTGAGAAGGTTTCGATTTACATTTCCGACGGAGCTCCTTTCAACTTGCGTCAATATAAATAACAGGAAGCCGACGATTTTCTCATCAATTTATTGTTAGTTTTATTTGACGAACTCTTTGAGTTGGGTTTGTATATGTTAACGACTGTCCGTCATTATGTATGCAAAATATGCATGTCTGCAAAGCCTAACTCATAACTCGCGTTCGGCGATGTGAAATAGTCTGCATCGTTCGTGTGTGTATTGTGTGCGCTATGCAAATCAATATTTTCTGATTGTAGAGAAGTATAGACACTCGTTCACATCGCGGCTATGCCTTAATATGTTCGCGACCGTTACGCCTTATCGCTAAGTGTGATTATCAAGAGCAGATTTTGATTAAATAGGCTATTTCGAGCTAAAGCAATATGGTCTTCAAATTGGGCTATTCCATTTAAAACACGTATTTTGTATTTTCCTTTTTGAGGACAAGAATTTTACTATACTTCTCAAGAATTCCTGTCGTAAAAGAGATCCCTAAAAATTCCTATCAAAAGCATTCATCACGTGAAAAAAAATGAGCATTGAAGAATTTCGATTTTTTTTTCACTTGACCCTTGAAGAATTCAAAACACCCAACCCTGAAGAATTTAGAATTCCATAGTAAAATTGACTTACTTCTGAGGGAATTTCGGGACTAAAAATTGTCTAACCCTGAAGAATTCCAAAGCTCCTCGATAAGGGGAGGGGGTTGCCGGCGCGGAATAGCCCTCGGAATAGCCCAATATAGCCTATATGTCCCCTTGGAGCCTACATGAACGTCGTCAGTTCAATACTAGGGTTAAGCGATATTTAAAAAATCATATCATAATCATCGTCTATAGGAAATTATCACGATATTCGATATCGTATTGAATTTTAGATCATTTAAGATATATCAGTTTACATATCGTATTATAAATAACAAATTGAAGTGAATATCCAACTAAAACAAGTCAAAAGCTTGTTTCATTTCATCATTTCATAAACCCTAGCTGTCCACTGCGATAGTGGCAAAGTGGCAAGATTTATGTTCGAGAAATTAAGGAAAACTGTTTTCGGATTTTTTAAAAGCGATGTACACATGCCAACCAATATCGCGTTAACCCTAACAATAATTACGATATATCGTCGCGTAAGTTTCTACCTTCGATACGATAATCATGAGTAAATTATCACGATAATATCGAAATATCGCGCAACTCCGTTTAGTTTATCAGTTAAGACTATTACCAATCTTGTTAATTCGGGAGGAACAGCGCAAGCGCGGTTGTGGCCGACTAAAAATGACTAAATGTTTTTATAATTGCGCAAAATGGAATTAAGATCGTTAGAAATGAATTCATTTTGTACATTCTGCGTCGTCATCGGTAAATATGCGTGCGTCAACTCATCTCTAGAGATGTGTATTAAAAATGCCGGAATGCCGACTCATTTTCTTGGAATTGATATACTTGAGAACCTCGTTGCGACGTATGTTTACGATCATTCTAATCATCAAGGCAAAACACTCCCTTATATAATTCCCTAGTTACAGTAACTATGTGGCAGAAATAAAAAATAACAGAGATTTTGTTTATACACATTTTCATCGACGTTTGTGTGTTTACTCGAAATTATATACAATGGTCGTTATTTCGCAGTAGATCAGTCTATATCACCAGATTCAAGCAGAAAGTATGATGAAATATGTGAGCCACACTCTCTAACTTACGCGATGTACCAATTTAAATATATATATATGGGCTTTTTCAATTTCTGGTACGATGCAGCCATGTATATATAGCTAGAGGTTTAGTTTTTTTGCGAGGAAAATAAAATCGGATGGACATAAGAATCTGGAGACTGGAATAGGGGTCTTATTTTTTATACTTGTCAATTATAGTTTTGGAGTATGTTATATAATATGAGCCACACCAAATATAATCTTTTGAAAATGTTTATTCAGTATCATCAACATTGTTGATATTAAAATAAAAAAATGCCTCTTGTCAGTGAGTTTTGTATGAGTTAGGTAAGGGGTTTAGGAATCTAAATTTATATATACAAGTTATTAATACGATTGGAAGATTATAACACTATAGGCTACACCTTATACGTAAACGAACACCCTTTAATATCATTTAGGTATATACACCTTATATAGGTAAACGAACATCCGTTATAATATAAACTCTGCATTCATTCAATGTCATTTTGGGGCCCACTACATACGACTGAAATATTATTCCCAAATAAACTGAAATATATAATCGCAAACAATATACTTTGACCTTTTTATGTTTTATGTCAATATGATATTGTATCCTGTTATATAAAGTTGTCTTCCTTGGTCAAGAAATTCCTGTCGTATAGATAAAAAAAATATTAGGCTTTCAACACTATTCCAAAGTAAAACATCTGTAAGCCGATATACTATAACTATATAAAGCGATTTTGACTACCGCTCAAAGCCAAAGGGCTCACTCGAAACACTAACGATTTAATTTTATTCCACCGACTATACTTGAGAGTTGAATTCTCTTTGAACAATGTCACGGTCCCACGATTTCCGGCATGCATGTGGCTTGTCTCGAGTCTCGACTCAGGACTAGCTCTTACCTTCCGAAATACAGCATCCATGCCGTTGATATAATCGACGGTAAACCGCTTCATTGATACCTTGGAGTCTTGGTCTTGAAAAGTTGACAGTTATCGTCAGATTTTAAGTAATTTAAAGCTACGTCTTTGAAATAAATATTTAAGTCCTAAGCGATAAAGAAAGTTCCTTTGTAGTTTAATATTTGCGAAAGCATCCATTAATTGGCTGTATGTTTTACTTATTTCCGAACATCCGTGAACGTGCTATTTGACATACACAGTTGGTTGTAGCTATACATGCTGAAACAGTGCACTACAAATCAAGGTTTGATAAATGTTTTGATATATTTTGTTTGGATTACTACTGTGTAGAATTTGTTTTGTTGAGTGATCTAAAAGAGATACGAATTTGTGATATTTAATGTTTATCACATGTTTTCATTTACTGAAGTCTGTATAATAGATGTTGTAAGATCATAGATGTAATGTTACAATACACTATACGCGTTGATATATTATATGGAGTTCGAGTGATATACAATATTGTTATATCAATGCTGTGTAGTAGTAATGTATTGTGCACTATTACCTATCTGTTATTACAATAACAATATTTAATCAGTGTATTAACAACGTGATCATCACCGTATATATATATATATATATATATATATATATATATATATATATATATATATATATATATATATATATATATATATATATATATATATATATATATATAGTTATAGTAATATAGTAATATAGTAATATAGTAATATAGTAATATAGTAATATAGTAATATAGTAATATAGTAATATAGTAATATAGTAATATAGTAATATAGTAATATAGTAATATAGTAATATAGTAATATAGCTTAATTTTTGTTTACGAAACACAAACAGTGCTCAATACCATATATAGAGCGTAATATAGTTTTTCGTTTTACCTCAAAAAACCACAACAGTCTGTTTCATCCGTATAGGAATTTTGTAAAAATAGTTGATATAGTTAATTTTAAAGAAAACGAAGTTATTTTACAGAGATTATTTATAAAATTAACCCCACTCCACGATATTTTAGATGACCATAAAAAATGTCGCTCGACCGGTACCCCATGAAACCTGATTGATAATTTAATTTAATTTAATTTACCATGCATCTTTATAACTTAACCATATACAGAAAGGATTTATTTATTGTATGCAGATATTTATTATTAGACCTTTTCATTGGATGCCCATGGTTAACTCGCTTTGTATTATTCCATGTTTAATCGCCAGCTATTTGCGCTAGGTATTTTTAACAGCTATTATTGCGCGGTCAATGTTTGGAATTCTTGACATTTTTCTCAAAACCACCAGGAAATTCTATAACTGCGTTGCTGCTTAATCTTGTGTGCTTGTTTTTGCCTTGTTCAATTACAGCACGGTACGCTCGCCCTGTGCCATAGCTTATGCATGTGATCGGTCCGATCGTAAATCATAATTATTCCACGCGTCTTAAGTGGTTTCGCTAAGCAATAAGCATTATCGTCCTATAACAGAAATATTTATTATAATAGTCTTTAATCCACAAGGCATAACAAAACACCATGCAAAGATTAACTAAAATAATTGTATAAACTGTCAAAAACGTTTTGAATGTCGTAAAAATATTTTGCAACCAGTTTCATAATAGTTATATATATTTTGCATATATAGCAAGGACATACTTCAGTAACAGATTTTGTGAAGTGAATAAATTAAATATAAATAATTAGTTTCGCAAATTTTGCACAAATGTTATCTAAGATCAACGAAGTTTGCGTTACCGCAAGATATTAAGTAATTTTGTTTGTTTCCAATCGCGTTCGATCACAAAGTTTACATATTGTATCACTGTGTTCAAAATTATTCTAATAAATACTTTGTAAAATATATATTGGTTATCAATTGGAATTGATATTAATTAACCAGCTCCCGTTGTTTCACCATGCAACAAGGCTATTAAACTATTATTAAGTGACTATATAGTAAATCTTCAAATATATGCAACCAATATTTTACTACAAGTGTATAGATATACTTGTATATTAATTAAGGGCACTCTTCACAATTTGGCATATATTGCTAGTAGTAGAAAAAAATTGAAATCTACAATTTAAATCTTGTTTTTAAAAATTTTATTTTTAAAACTTTCAAAGGAATTAATTTTGCCCACTGCAGATGCATGCACGGTTACTGCAGTTATCAGAATGACAAAACAAATGTCAATTCTTTTTATTATATATGTGATAGTTTTATGAATGGAACCGAAGATATAGTTTAATAGATGATTCCAGAATTAGACGAAAGTTTGATCTGGATAAGAAAAACGAAATCCATTACCAAAGCTGGAAAGAGCTCATCATCTTAAGTTGAGTAAAATTGCAAAGTTTGGCTGCGAATTGTTGTAAAATGAGGAAAATATAGCCCTGTGAAGTTCGCAAATTTTTAAATAATTGCATTACGCGCGTAATACAAATATATACAAAATTTTACAGCGCGTAATACAAATATATACAAAATTTGCGAACTTCACAGGGCTGCTATATTTTCTTCATTTTACAACATTTAGCAACCAATATTTGCAGCTTTACTCATTCTAAGACGCTCTTTCTAGCTGAGGTATTGGATTTCGTTCTTCTTAAGAGCCTTGATCAAAATTTAGTCTAGAGCTGGAGTCGCCCATTTTCTTGCTCCATATAGGCTAAAGTGTCGACATTTCTGTATTTGACCACCTTGATGTAGAATTGTTAGAATTCTTTGTTTATTGTAACCTGAGAGATTTCATCCCCTCATTGACTTGTACGTCTCCAGCTGAGCTTAACTCAAGTATTTACTTCAAATTTTTCAAATGCTTCTCCCAGCCATTCCGGTTCAGACTTGGCAATTTCTGTTTCGAAATAACACGAAATAATCTTCCCACAGATTTCTCAGCACAAGTTTCGAAACGTATTCTCTTTAATATATCGGCTTTTACAGGCTGTTAGTTCCGCAAATGACCATTTTGCATTTCAATTACTCAATTAGAATGTATTAAATTGGTCATTAGAATGCACTAATTAGTTGCTAAAGTCCTCGCCCTAAATTATTGTGTTATTATTTTCTATTTTTGACCTTCGGTGGTTTGCCAGAATTATAAGACTTCTTAACTTAAGTATTAAACATCCCTGCCTCGCCATAGCTTTTTATGCGCGCACGGCTGTTAGTATTGGACGAGGTATAATTTTGCGCTAATTATAGATTGATTAGAAACATTGTTGGAATTCGGTACGCAGGATTTCTCGCAATTTTTTATTCGCCATAGTTGGAGGCAATTGGTATAGGGTCCCCTTCGTCTCTCAGGGGAGTGGTCGGCAAGGATTGGCGGGTTTTCTATGGTGAGAGATTGCATGAGAGTTTTCTCAACTCTTGTGCCCCGGCATGCATGCAAATCATTTCGTAAAAGTCCGGAATGTCCAAGTTTGTAAAAGTCCTAATAATCCAGAAAAATGTACTTGACAGTCTTCTTCAGATCACCTCATCACCCCCGATGAAGACACTAGACTGGAGTGTCGAAATGTTGGATCGTGAACGCTATTCGACTTGGCTTTGCAGTCATTTATTAAAACCACAGTAGCGAGCTGAAACGTGACTTATTCTTGACAATTCTAAAAAAAATAATGAATTCATGCTTGAGAAATAAAATTCACGTCGGAATTGAATGAAGATTTCCAAGAATATATGAAACCTTAGTTATGTCATATAAATATGCAATCTACGTCGTTAAATTTTATCCTCAATTGCGTTTTACTTCATTGTTTTATTTCCAACAAGAAATCCGAAAAGTCCGACAGAAGTCTCGTATACTTTCTAGGCGTGATTTACCACCTTTGCCTTTGGTCAAAACTGCGGGCGGAGCGAAAACGGTTTTCGTCGACTCTCATCAAAATTTGAACCGTGAACTCAAAGACGCGAGTGAGAGTTGCAACTCTGGTTTAATATTGACATTATTTCTCATTCTGCACAACACACTCTAAAAACACAATTTCCTGCTTAACTGGCTAAAAATAACACTATTTGGATTAACTTAAAATTTTTGGTTAAATTTCCTGACTTTTTTTATCTCACTTCCTACAATTGTCTGGTTATAATGTAACCTGGAATCTGGTTATATTTGACCAACACGTCGTTAAAATAACCAGACTATGCTGGGTGGATATATAACCAGAGCCACAACCAGGACGTCCTGGTCAAATTAACCCGAGGCTAGAGTAGAAAAAGGTTGAGAGTATTAAGTTATACCCCAAATATTATTTCTAAGTTGACCAGAAAAAAATTAATCAGAGAGTTTATAGCGTAGTGTACTTGGTGAGATCTAGCTACACATTTGTCCAGTGTGCGATTACCATGCAGCAAGATCAGTTGTCCTTGCTCTCATTTCCTCCTGGTTTTTGAAAACTGTTTCACGTTCTATTTCTTATCTATTTCTAGGACCAGATAATCGTGTCTCCTCGCGTTGAACTATGCAAGCACTCCATCGCCCTGTAAATATGGATATAGGTATGACATGAAAGTTTATAAAAGAACAGCAAAGATTCTTAAAGACCATTTCAAGTCCGTAATGTATTAAACAAATCGTTTGTTTACATTTTGAACTGCTAATTTGTAAAATAAGACATACTAACTGTATATCTAACACTTTTCCGGTTCGCTATTGTAAATGAATATCAACTAGAGTACGTTTCAATTCAAAAAAGTTCGAAAGATGCAAAATTTGGGCAATTTCGAGTGTTGAACATGTCTCACGAGTGAGCGCACAACACGAGAAATAAATCTGGTATTTCCAAGCACCCATGTATTTTTCTGTTTATTATATAAAGGACAGTCTTTGAAAAGCGATAATTTGTACAGAAAAGTGATATTTGAAAAGCGATAATTTTCACATGTGAGATTATCATGAATAATTTCACATGTGAGATTATCAGTTTTATCAGTGCTCGAAATCTCTATAAAGCACTATACTTTATATAATGAATATCAGTAATATATAGATCAGCGCGTGCACTGCAAGCCCGATAAAGACGCACGCCTTTAGGCGCACGCCCGCAACTAAGGACGAGCGCGCAAAGGATTCCTAATTAATTATTTGATAGCAAGCGACTGGGGACGAGGCAGCCAGCGAATTGCGATATTTTTAAGCTTCCTAAAATAACCTGTCGATTGATATAACCTAGATTTAAATTTAGCATTTATAAATTAATAAGGTATCTTTTGTATTAATTAAAGCTGGATTATAGCACTTCCCCTCGGTTAACATTTAATCTGCTGTTTTGGTTTATGTATTTCTGCACGTCTGTTGATTTAATGATTTTAAAACTTCAGAGAAGAAAAATCCAACAGCTCAAGAGTCCAGACAAGATTTGTAAAACCTGGGGGTGAGCTTATCGGCTTTCGAGCAACCGCATGGCCCCTGGTATCAAAACACAGCATGCACAGCGTGGCAAGTACACGCGCAATTTTTTTGGCACTTGAAATAGCGCCTAAAAAGATCATTCCCATCTAATGACATAAATAATAGTGGATGATAGGAAGTTGTGCCCTTTTCTCGCAAGATATTGATTGAATGTATGCGTCTGTGGTTCCGGTGTAAACATTTTTGTCATGATTGTGATTCTTTCACACCGTAAATAAACCTAAGCTAGAACTACGACTATAGAACTACATCAATCCAAAACATATGAATCGTTAGCGCAAGTCGTGGCGAGGGTATACGCGAAGCCTTACGACGTCCAAGTATTTCTAATCTAAAAGGTTTGTAGCTATAAATAGTATAAGGTTACTTTTAGAACCAACCATAACAATATTATTGTCAGCAATCAGCATCTCAGGGTTTCCAATAGACGCCAGCAGCCGGCGGTTTTCCGCTGGTAGTACAACAAACCATCGCCGCCTATTTTGAATCCTGGCTTCTCAGTGGTTGGAGCCCTATGGCTATAGACTATGGGACCATCAGGACGGTGCACTATTGTGCCACTTATAATAATTATTATACGATTATAATATCAAACACCTGCCGTTGTGAATTGTATTGAAAACCCTGGAATCTTGTTGAAATAATTCCTGTAACAAAAGTGTCGTTAGTTGTTCATGGGCTGATGGACATACGAGTCGTGAGACATGAAATCCGGATTATTACGATTTCGCTTGGGTCAGACAAATCAACTGTGGAGTTTCCCGGACGTTGTTGGTTCATAATGATCTGCCAGCTTTTCAATATGTGCATTGATAGCGCGTGCTGGTCACTTCCGGCATGGTCAATCACGTTGCTTAACTTTTGATAAGCAATCCCAGCGATCCGTGCGACTCGGTCCCACGGATACTGTTTTCAAATTTTAGACCCGTCACGTTTTAGGGGGAGTTACTATTTTTAGACTTTTGTAATTTTGTATTCTTTTGTATTTTAAACTTAACCCTAATCCCAACCCTAAACCTAAACCTAACCCTTACTGTAATCTTAACCCCCTAATCTTAATCCTTATCCAAACCCTAATCCTAACCCTAAAAGTCTAAAAATAGTAACTCCCCCTAACATATGACTTATATGTCAAATTTTCCTCAGAGATGCAACTACCTGAAAAGGAGAAATTCAGTCGAAGTTTCGAACGAAGGCCCTATACTACTCTTGCCATTTTTGCTGCGATTTCTAGTGCGACTTTCCTTTTTCTGATGGATGTGAACGAGTAAATAAATTATGAATGCTCTGAGAAATGTACCCTCATCTAAACATTCCTAACTCATCCACTCGTTCACATCCATCGGGGAAGAAAATCGCACCTTTGATCGCAGAAAAAATTGCAAGTGTAAACGGGCCTCAAGATTATGTCTGGTGCTAGCAATGAGCTAACTTTGTGGACTGTCACCGAGAAGCCAAGAAAATGTTTTGTGTTCTCTCGCTTTTTGAACAGTACCAGTTAGGTTCGATTCCAACCGTGGCCAGGCATATTAGAGAGGTTAAGATACCCCGTTTTCGGTGTACGGGTACGAGTAGTGTCATCTTGTTTTACTGATGTCTGTAATTCGATCATACTTTTTCTGTTTTCTTGCAATAGACATTAGGGCCATTTATACGGGACAAAATAAGTCGCGTCTTACATAAGACGCGTCTTATATAAGCTGAGTTATCGCATAAATGGTTCTCTACGGATTTATTCTTATTTACTTGCTATAGCTATGATGTTGTTTCGGTAGTTTTTGTTCGAATAAGCAAGGCTAATAATTTTACGTTGTTTCAAGTTTCGGGCATGTGTAGTTAGAATTTTTGTCTAAAATTTCTTATTTAAGACGCGACTTAAATAAGAACAGCTAAAAGTCCTGTTCTTATGTAAGACGCGTCTTACATAAGAATTTTGTACCTTTTATACGACAAACTCGCGTCTTATTTAAGTCGCGTCTTATGTAAGTCGCGTCTTATTTTGTCCCGTATAAATGGCCCTAATGATATAATGCGAAAAATGTGCACCTTAATTGCGAGTAAAGCTCAGTACAGACATCGACGAAAATATTGCTAACCAAAATCATGCTACCCGTACACGTACACCGAAACCGGGGTATCTTAACCTCTCTAATTTTCAAGCTTGCCCGGTGTGGATATACACTCAAGAGTAACATCATAAACATCTTATTCACCTGAGTACATAACACCAACACGGAAAAATCAATGCATTTGATTTATTTGATCGATCAAAATGTCCGCACAGAATAAAATTAATCGGCTATTTAGTGGGGTTTTTTTCGGCGAATAGCCGATAACGGTTATCTACAATCCTATTCCTATCCCCCTAACAGTATTGTGCGCGAAACGTGAGAATAATAACTTATATGTCTGTGTCTTCATTTCAGAGTCCCCTCCCCACATCCCCGGCCCGATCAACGGCAATCCTTACGCTATAGTTAACCAAGCTATGAAAATGAAATGTCGCGCCGAAGAAGGACAGACCGGCCGGGACTTGGATTACCCCGGCGAGACCAAGATGGCGAAATATAACGGAGACAGCAACGTCTTTCAATTCCCGGTCATGATCGGCGAGCAACAAATACGAGATGAGAACCGCAAGGCAGCCATGAACGAACTACTTGGGAATCTTGGCGTGAACGCTGTTGCTATGGAACGAAATGGCGAGAGCACGACGACGGTTACCATAACGAAGCAGGTAACCCAAAAGAATCCTCAACCACCGCAACGGCAAAGTAGTTTCAAAGCTGCAGAGAAAATTAAAATGAAAAAGGGCTCTCAGAGAGCGGTGTCGCCTACGTCGCCGGGGCAAAACTTTGAAGTACCTTTGATACAAACAGCTCCAAACGAAGACCGGAATCTGTACTACGCGTCGCATTACGCCGCCTCACAGCCTGGTAAAGTTAAGGCGAAACTTCATATAGACCCGCATTCGGGTGGTCAGATTTCTCCGACCGCCTCGCCCGAACTGATCGCCAATCGTAAGATGTTACTGGATGTAATCGAAGGTGACTCTGGCGACGATCTTGACGCGGGAACGGAAGGAGAGGTGACGGTGGTGCGGAAAACAGAGGCGCGGGACGAAGACAGCGATACGGAATCCGAAGATGAAATCTCATTTCATGAGAGCCCCACGTTACCCAGGCGTGGAAATGTCGCACAGAAGGTGCAATTCCTTTCGAAATCTGTAGCGTTCGCCCCTCCCCCCGACTCAGAGGAGCAGAATAAACGAAAGAATACATCCGTGCCATTGATTGGCCTCACCCCTCTGGCAGCCACGGATATCACAGATAGGATTGCTAAACACAATGAGAAATCTCTGGCTGCAGGCCAGGTCATGGCTACTGCGAATATGGTGTTATATAGCAGTAAACAGCCGCCAAAGAGAGTCGTGGAGTACAACCCTGATGCTCATGAACACAACGATGAGCAAGGTAGGAGTATTGTAGAGTTATCTAACGCATATAAAATTCAAATTGTGTTATATGAGAAACAACAAGATGAGATCTCGTCTTGCGTCAGGTGGGATCTCACTAGAGACCGTACGATTTTAGGACGGCAACCGCGACGGGGACGGCCAAAACAAACTCCTTCAAATAGATGGTTGTCGATAGTTCGTCGTATATTATCAGTCGTATGAATTTAATACAGTCTTAGAAGTTGAAGACATGGGTTTTATGGTTGGGAAGAGTTCTGCTAAACCCAGTTTGAAGTTGCACTTGTTGCGGCTTGGAATGCAGCCGTTGTATCAAGACGTGAAAATCTGTGATTTGGCGTTGTAAACAGAGCGAGGACAATGTCTAAATTATTCATTTATTGTAATTACTCAATTCTTCTCAATGATCTATTGTATTGGTAGCCGTTGCCGTCGCGGTTGCCGTCCTAAAATCGTAAGGTCTCTAATAGAGACTATATATATATATGTATATATATATATATATATATATATATATATATATATATATATATATATATATATATATATATATATATATATATATATATATATATATATCAGGGTCAGAATTTATTGAAATATTAATGATTGTCCCATGCAATGCAACAGTTAATAATTAATATAGTGTATACCGGGATAAAATGGGATATCAGTGACAAAATAATATATTATACATCAATTTCAATACTTACTCGTTTTTGGCCCTTTTTTGCCGGCTGTGTTTGCTGCAAAATTTTAGATGGCAAATTATTGTAAATTATTCATAATATATATAGTTTTGTAAAAATAACAGCTCAAAAAAGGTTAATTATAATCTGAGACACCGTTTATATGAGAATTTGGCGAAGTCAAACCGAAATGAAAATTGAAATTGTCAACACGTTTACATGCATGAGACCGGTTTGAAAATCACAAAATTTTCAATTTATTTCTCTTGCCAGGGAATTTTCTTTTTTAGATGCCTTTTTTAGCATGTGTTGTTCCAATGTCAAGGGTGTTTGCATTCATCCCGGTCTGAATTCATGCCGGTCTGAAGTCAGTCGGCTCGGTCCAGCAGGAGGAATGACTTGAGACCCGGTCTGAGTTATTTTCGTCCTGGTCTCATGTAAACATCTACTATAAATAATACTATGACCGAAACAAAATGGTCCCGGTTTGACTTCGTTCCGGTTTCATGTAAACGGGCCGGTGTTTTTCGCGCGTGTATATGCAAATTTATTATATGGCTTTTCAAAATTCTCTATTCCAATTGGTTGACAAGGGGTCCGTAAACTGACCCATATCCGGACCGTGGTCGGTATTTTCCGTATCTGGACTGGTGTCCCGGATGTAATTTATCTGGCGGGAAATTTTGGCTTTGCAAGCAGAAAAATTTTTTGCTTTTTAAATTTCCATTTGTGCTTTACAGATAAAAATGTCAAACAACCAAATTGTTTTTGATTGAGCATGCATGCCTACCGTATATTGTTACCCAGTGAAACTGACGATAGCCGATTTAATCGGCGCGGAAAGCATATGCTCACAGACTCAGTTCAGCCATATAATAAACCGATTATTGACCTCGCTTGTTCGGTCTGTACTGTGAAATATCAGACCTCTGTTTTTTGCATGGACCTCGCTCCTTCGTCGCTCGGTCCATACTAAAAAACCTCGGTCCGATATTTCACAATACAGACCTCACGCTCGGTCAATAAGCCGTTATCATAAACTGGCCGTTGAGAAAGATCGGCTTCAGTGCCCAAAGATCAAACTTCTATTTTCTAACGCAGTGCTTCCATTTTGTCTAGTTGAAGACTTCCGTTCAGCACCAGTATTACGTCACCACCAAGAGGGTTGGAACAAAGTGGAAACAAATGACTCAGACACAAGTGACGTACATTCAGATCAAGCTATAGAAGAGGACTTCCCCCCTCCCCCTCCTGAAGTCCCCCCACCTCCTGTGGTGCAAACCATCAAACTCGGACAGCAGGCTGAGTTCAGGCTCAATGTTCAAGTGTCGAGCGCAGGCAAACTTGAACCAGTCCATGAAAGGTAAGGTGAAAGTTCCATTTTTAGGCTCTCTCACGGATAGAAATTTCGACGTATTTTGGAAACCGCGGGAATGGGCATGCAGACATGCGGACATGGAAAAGACGGCAGTTCTGGAAAAGGCAGCTATTTATAGAAAAGAGGGCAAATATAGAAAATAATTTTTTGAGCAGTTTAGAGGAATCTATCCCTATCAGAGGAATATATATACCTTGCTCAGTATTATGAAACAAATTCGTCTTTTCCACAACTGTCCGTCTTTCCATAAAGTGGTACATGTCCGCATGTCCGTGCCCGCGTTTTAGAGTCCGCTTTTCCAATACACCTACCTTCAACTTCCCGAGGTCAGAAATGCAATTGGGCAATCCGTAGTTCAATATAGAGGCAATTCTAGCTTAAACAGGTTCTCATTTAAAAGGGGTTTAAATAAAAAATTTTGCCTAACAGGTTCTCGAATTCTAGGTTCTTATATGCGGGGTTTTACAGTTCCTGCATGCAATGCAAAATAATAAAATACAAATTTACCAATACATAAATATTGGCATATTGTTTTAACCTATATTTAGCAATTATTCGCCGAAAGCGTGGTGGTGACAAGCCTATATTCACTGAGCCGAAGGCGAAGTGAATATGGGCTTGTCATCACCGAGCCTGAGGCGAATAATTGTTTTAGTATAATTTCATCATTGAAAAAGTGTTATTTATAAATACAACTAATTTATACACGTGTTTATTTTATAAATAAATAATAAATAAATCCTTTACTTCCGTCTGATATTCAGCCATTTTCTGGGGGAAAACAATAGTTACTGCTCAGAGCAGTCGAGCACTATTACCTCAGAGTTACTGCATAAGGAGCCAATCAGAATGCTCAAAGGTCATTTTTCAATACTGAAATTATACTAAAACGCCATATATAACCCTACACTGTGATGACATATTACCCGGTCGCAGCGGGCTATCATTAATATTCCTCGCATATCATCGGTAAAATATCTCGAGAGTGTACTACATACAACACACGAGGTCACGCAATGACTAAACTCGTTCTATCAACACAAACTATATGCTCCAACGACAACACTTTCATTCTTTCGTTCGTGGAGAAAAAACCAAGTCTTATTGTGAAAATTTCGTCTGTTTGCAGCGAAGATCCGTCAGATTCAGGCTGCGAGACGTCTGCGCCACTATCACCCCCTGCACCCGAGATTAAAATAGAGGAACCTGCCATTCGAAAACAACTCGTCCAAGTCGAAGAAAGCGTTGACGACGCATTGTTAGAAGAATTATTTCGAAATGCACCCGAACAGCAAGTTCAACCTTCAAAACAGGTAAGAAAAATGAGACACTTCCCAAACTAATTTCTGTTTTTCCGTTTGTAAATTCACGGCATATAGTTATAATATCAGACATGTTTTCTCTTACACCACTTTGATTTAACTCAATAAATGCAATCTCCTAGCAAATTATATTCCCTGTCCATCCTCTAAGGTTGCATTTATTGACTTAAACAATTCAAACACATGTTGAACTTCTGTTTTTTACTCTTCAGCGAAATTTTTATATTATCGCAAAAAAAGCACATTCTGTAATTTAGTTGGCTAAATGATGTTGGCGTGATGTTGTGGTTTTGTATTTTATATGTTCCTTGTGCAAGCGTTTTAGCACATTACACGCAACTGCTGGCAAATTGTTGCCATTTTTATCATATCATCTTGGAATTAACCGACAATCGAATAGTATTAGCATAATTTATGTTGTTTGACAATAGATCTACAGACTAGATAAACAAAACAGACGTGTAGCTACAGTCGTTTTAGATTGATGATAGCTAAATATTGTCAATTTAAATACAAGAATCATCATTGATGCTGTAAAATCGACGCCATATTTATACAGCAATATAAGCTAAACTAACTGAACTTCAGACATCATTTTCCCTTTGGCGTACCATCTAAAATCTCTTCGTTTTAGCATAATTTGACAGATAAAGCACTGAACATATACTTTTTAAGTTTGCTTGCCGGTTGAGAAACGTGTCTGAAAACTTTGAAATTTGAATATACAGTCATTACCAAAGTGGAAAAGTACATTCATTATAGTTTTGAGCGCGTGTTACGTAACATACAAAAGATTCTCCCCTTTAATAATAATTCCTGAACCGAACACTAACATTTGCGCACGCGTACATAAATACTTCCGGGAATACAATTCATCCGATTCCGTGTGGACACATTTCGTCTCGTCATTAATCCAGTTCCGTGTGAACATGTAGAACCGGACGAATTTGAGTCTGAATTCATCCAGCCCCATGGCCATGTGAATGTAGATCGAGATGTAATATTTCAAATCCTACTATTGAGGACTGGACTAGATTTCAAGTCCAGATAAGATTAGACTAGACTAGATTTGAAGTCCAAGATAGACAACTTGCATGTTAGACCAATTTTTGAATTCCCGTAAGGCATTTATTAAAATTAGTAAAATTGCAAAATTTGGTTACGAAATGTTGTAAAATACGGAAAATATAGCCTTGCGAAGTTTGCACATTTTGTATATGTTCGTATTACGTGCGGAAATTTTTAGCATTTTTGAGCCGAAAATGGTAACAATTTCCGCACGTAATACAATACAAATTTGGAAACTTTGCAAGACTATATTTTCCAAGCTCTACAACATTGCGCAACATTTCATTATGTTCTTTTCAGCGGTGTTTGATTCCCTTCTCTTTGCTTAGATTAAAATTTAGTCTAACATGCAAGTTGTCCATTTGATCAAGTCCGAGGAGAAGCCGAGGACTGGGTCAAAATGCGCGAGGACTTGAAATCCGGTCCAGTCTGAATTGAAGGATTTGAAGCTGCCTCCTCCACAGGCCCTCGTTGTGTCATGGGAAGGTCACGATTTCGAGAGGGCCTGCGGAATCTTGTAAAATGAATAAATGTTGTTTTGAACCTGCTTTGTTAAAGAAAGCAGTTTTATTCGTGCAACGTTGGTGTGGACAACAAACCTTATCGTTAAACTTCCTTCCACGTCCTAAGAGTCGCCAGTTTAATTTACAAGTTTCACACCGCTTTTTTATATCTGTTTATATTCACGATATGTAGAAATTTACTTGCTGACGTGACGCCGGCGCCATTTTTTTTACAAGATTCCGCAGGCCCTCGCCAGATCGTGACCTTCCCATGACGCAACGAGGGCCTGCGGAGGAGGCAGGATTTGAAATGACATCTCATACGAATAAGGGACTGGTCATAAAGTAACTGCTAGGGTGGGCTGGAGGTAAATCACAAATTTTGCCAATAAGTTCGGTGACCCATCTTAGGATGTAGATAAAAATTTCAAAGCCCATCTAATCTTACAAAAAAGTTTTCATGACCCATCCAATCTATTAAATTGGGAAAATACACTTTTATAATAAAAAAAAACAACTTGCAGGTATGAACATTGTAAATATACACCGGCACTGTTTTGACATACATAATTCCACCAAGCTTGACCAACATATTCATCACCAATTACGATACTGAGCTGCTCTCCAGTTGGTTGTATTTGCTGTGATTCGACCACTTTTTGTTGTTGTATAAACAAAGTACTGGCTTCAATAGGATCATTTGCATTTGATAATTTGGATAGTTTTGTTTACTTTTATTATTAATATCTTTATTTTTTGAAGTAGACATGCATGGGTTTTTGTTTGGTGGCCCAACCGTGGACATACAAAAAATTTGGCGGCCCATCGAAACTGCCCAAAGATTTTCCATGGCCCATCCCAAATCACTCCAGCCCACCCTAGCAGTTACTTTATGACCGGTCCCTAAATCACTACTTAAAGTGAGGTGAATTAATTTTGATCCAGTCCTAGGACTGAATTAGCTTTGATGGAGGAGTCCTAGGACTGAATCAATATACTTCACTGGGTATCCAGTATTATCATGTGAGCAAAATAAAGCAATATGCTTTGGCTAATTTACTCATGAGTGATGCATTATTAATGAGTTTTGAAATACCAATGTATGTTGTCCTGGGCAAAATTTACTAAGTTGAGAAAGGTTTTACGAAATTTCGTCTCCCCGCTTCAGGGTTTATTTTAACGTGCAGTTCTACCCAAAATGTGCAGTTCTAAACCCATTTGTACAGTTTTTAAAACACAAATGTGCAGTCACCAAACTAACAAAAATAGCCTTAAAACAGTCTTCTCATTTACTCGTTACCTTTGTGGATGCTCCAGAAAATTCCAGGGATAATAGAATAGAAGGTAAAATTGGGGCGAGTGAAGCTCCCAAAAGAGATTGGAGTGGGAGAACCTAATATTCTTTGCTGCCTGAAATGCAAATTTAAGGTTGTTATATATTGAATATCCGTGATTCCCAGTTACATGTTTCGAAACTGTTTTTGTGAGTGGTTGGGTAAAACAAATCTTTGCCAGAACTTAAGAGCCTCTAGATTCAAATTGTTTTGGGGAATACCCACCCTCCCTAGCTCCCGCACCCAAATTCTCCCACCAAACCACACCATTATTCTGTCACTTATGCGCAGGTAAAAAATCCTTTGACCCCCCCCCTGCCCCCAGTCAAACACACGTTGCTTTCGTAACATCCCTATATGTGCAGTTCTAAATTCTTCTTAAAATAAACCCTGCCCGGCTTGATAAAAGATCCGTGGTAACCATATAGACTATATACACACTACCATGAAGACTCCAGTTGGTCAATAATCAGTATATTAAAAGTTTGAATGTAAATATTAGCTTATTACATGTAATTGTTTTCGTTCAAAAATGGTTGGTTTGAAAAGCCACTAATTTCCTATTCCTTGTTTGAAATATGCGGGTTAGTGTAGTTTTCATAAGTATACACTCAACTAGCTGGTGTTTCTTTCGAAAGAATATATTAACACAATGGGATACAGGCGGATTGGGAATTGGGAGAATGCTCCCTCGAGACAATCTTGAATGTTTGGACCCTTAGAGAGTCCGGAAATGCAACTAATATATGGCATTCTTAGCCTATGTGTTCACTTTTAACATCCAAGTTTGTGTGTCAGTGTTTTTGGTATACCTGAATATCATGAGCTTAAATCACTTAGAAATGTACCTTAAATTACTCAAAAACTATTATCGGGGGAGGGGGATGTTATCCCCCCCTCCCCTACACCTCCCGGTCGCTACGACTTTGACCTTTGCCATTAAATTTGAGCTGGTTCAAAGTTTTGATGACCGTTGATATCCAGTCAGCTCTCATTAACTCTCATGCAATTCTTGTTCCCGTTTGACTGGGGAGTTGAGGAGTCTCGTGGATGTAAATTTCTTTCCAGTATCGTCAGGTGACTCTCGATAAATATATATGCAAAATCTTAAATTCCAATTGGATATTAATAACAAAAATATGATAATCCCTATCAAACAAACTCAATGGGGCAGCAAGCAAACACTGAGTTCTCCACAAGAGGTCATAGCAGTACATGGACACTTTATTGTGCAACTAAAAATCAATTTCAATCGCTCAGTGCATGAATATATAGCTGGATTGTCCTATATGCGTGGACTCTAACTGTGCCCAGTTGTTTTGGATGTTTTTATTAGCTTGGGCTAGTCTTTGCGTACTGCAAGGGATTGAAGATTTTTGGTAAACTATCGACAGGTATGAATGTTGTTTAAGATATCTTAGGTTTAGCTTTGGTTGATCAGGCCTGCCATGAATATTGCCTTTTAATTGGTTAAGACATGGTATACCAAAAGTGTTGAATTCGTGTTTTTTGCGCTTTTCTCTATATATACAGTATCTACTCTGTCTGACTCGTGCGAACCTACAGTAGCATGAAAAGCTGTGTGTATCTTTTTAATACTGTATTTGTACACATGCGATTCGGTTGTTGTAAACTTAGGACTTGATTTCAATTTAGATGTTAATTTGGCCTACAGGAAATAGCGGTGTAAAAATAATTATATATGGGAACAGGGTATATGATATTCAAAAACAATAGGTAGATTTGTATCCCTCCACATCACAAACTTTAGTTGTCATATAAGCAGAGTGCCATGTACCCCTGATGTTCAAATATCCTATAGAAAATTAACAGGACATGCACATATAGATATTTATATATATCAGTTGGGAGATTTTGTTAATTAGACAATATATAGATATTTATCCTACTTTAGCACGATCCTATTTGATTCCTATAATCATATAGCATCACTATTATGCTCATTTATTATAAAAAGACGTTGAAATAGCCTATGGCTATATGCTTTAATGCAAAACAAATTGTATTAATGCAAATAATGCTTAAGAGATAGTCACTAATCATATAGCATCTTTATATTGGCTTTTTACTATATGCATTCCTGCTTCCTTTAATGCTAAAAAATTGTATTAATGCAGGCAATGCAGCTTAAAAGATAGTCCCTAATCAATAATCATAGCATCTTTATATTGGCCTTTTACTATGGATTTCTGCTTTCCTTATTGACTGCAAAACAAATTGTATTATTTAAGAGATAGTCCCTATCATATGGTATTTTTAATACTTTGTATGCTATTTTTCAATGGATTCCTGTAGCTTTATTTCATTGCATGGTTGGTATCAGAGTTCGAGTTTTCTAATGCCTTTGTGATTTAGATAGTTTAATATCATATACTGTGGCGTGTTGCTATGCGGAGTCGTGCTGGGTAGACGTAATCTTAGGGTTTGGGAAGCCAACATTCCTTTATCAATCAGAGACGCTACCTTAAAGTTACAGCATTTTAGCCAACGGGATGTGGAACGGCGTTCTAGTTTGTTACATTACGTTATATGCAGTTAAAATCTTTACAGGCGTTTTATCTCAGTGGATATGTTAAAATCACTCATAGTCATCTCAATATATAGAACCGTATTTTGTTTTGGAGATTAAAGGATTTTTTTTGCTCAAAAAAATGTCGGTCTACATATGCAGACAATCAAGTCCAGTGGAAGTTGATCTTATTGACATAACTGTATCACTACGTTTCAAGGATCAGGGAGAAGCGAACAGTTCTTCTGTAAGGGTATTTAAACGCATGCCAGTTTATATTGGTGGATTTCACTGAGCACTATATTGTAGCACATGGTTGTCAATTGGCATTTATCAGAGCGAGAAAATTATGTTTATTCTTTTCATTATACCTTTTATTTTTTTAAATGTATTTCAATATTTCAATGGCTTTTTCTAGCTGTGATAATGGATCTTGCGTAGATTAAAATTAAGTTTATAGCTGCATGGATTGCTCCAAGCTGGCTACAGACGAGCACATTTTCTATGACAACTTTTCACCTGGCTAGTTTTGTTTGTGAATTGCACGTGTATTTGGTTAGGACAAATTTTCTATGATACGTTTTTGGTTTTCTTGCCACGATAACTTTTCTAACAATATGACCAACTGCATCCAAGTTCTCAAAATGACTTTGCCAAACGTTATTTGTTAACCCATACAAACGAACAAAATTTGTACTTGTTTTCTGCTGGCATACCAGCTTTTAAACAAGTGTACATGTCATAGACATAGTAAAAATTGGAAACGTTGGCTTTGGATCTTTAGTCTGGACTAGAACACGCCAACAAACAATATATTGAGAGACTATGATTGGAAAACACTAAAACAAATCTATTTAGAATCGCTAGCGAAACTGGTCCATAAAATTTATTACCAAATTGTCCCGACAGCTATGGCTGATGCTGATTTATTGCAAAACATACATCGGGGTATAATTTAAGGGAACTAAATTGTCTAACTCTAATCTGAAGTTATGAAGAAGTCAATTAGTTATAAGGGATCAGTTTTGTCAGTGGAACAATTTGCACAATGTCAATGAGACAAAAGTAATTGAAAACAGTAGACATTTTTCGAAAGCTATAACTAATGAAGAACTAAGAGAATCGATGTTTTAGCTGAAACTCTATATAACTTAAATATTTTATTAATTAGATAGATGCTTGTTGTTAAATAGATATAGATTAGTGTGTTTAGATATTGTAATCTTTGTTATTCACGACCCTATCAGCCTTAGCTGAATCTTTCAATCGTGATTAAATAAGTGCTTCAATCAATAAAAAAAAATGTCATATGAAAACTTCCCATAGAATACGTGCATCGTCTGGAATCGGCTTAAATGTCAACAGTTTTGCAGTTGTCCACTATCTGCCTCCCTGTAACTCGACACAATCCTTTGTGTTGACATTACTTTGTTACTACGTTTCCAGGATCATAGGAGAGACATCAGCACTCCAGTGGATCATACGAGACAAGCAAGCAGTCCAGTGAGAAATCATACTGGACACAACACCAGTCCAGTTACAGTGGTGATCAAGAGACCAGATTCAGAAGAAAGATATATCCGAGAGGATGACGCCGCGGGATATGAGAGGATAGAAGATATTAAACCTGGCAAAGGACAGGAGGATGTTGATATGAAGGAAGTTGAAGGAAATGGAATGACTGACGAAGAATTCCTGAACAGGTACAGTCCAGTTGACCATCTTTGTTTGGTTAACTTACGAAAAAATCTATTCCAGGCACAACAACTACGGCAACTTACTGTGTAGAATACGGTATCCAAAGTGGGGGTATCATAACGTTGGACATTATTCCACTGTAAGAATATCTCAAATGTGGTGGTCCAATGTAGTTAGTATCCTACAATAAGCTGTCGTGGTTTGTGTCTGAACTACGTGAAAAGATATCTCAAACGTGGTGGTCCAGTGTAGGTAGTATTCTGCAATAAACTGTCGTGGTTTGTGTCTGAACTACCTGAAAAAGATATCTCAAACGTGGTTGTCCAGTGTAGGTAGTATTCTACAATAAGCTGCCGTGGTTAGTGTCTGAACTACCTGAAAAAGATATCTAAAACGTGGCGATCCAGTGTAGGTAATATTCTTCAATAAGATGCCGTGGTTTGTGTCTGAACTACCTGAGAAAGATATCTCAAATATGGTGGTCCACTGCAGGTAGTATTCTTCAATAATCTGCCGTGGTCTGTGTCCGAAGTACCTGAGAAAGATATTTCAAACGTGAAGATATAGTGTAGGTACGATTCTACATTAAGCTGCCGTGGTTTGTGTCTGAACTACCTGGAAAAGATATCTCAAACGTGGTGGTCCAGTGTAGGTAATACTCTTCAATAAGATGCCGTGGTTTGTTGTCTGAACTACCTGAGAAAGATATCTCAAACGTGGTGGTCCAGTGTAGGTAGTATTCTGCAGTAAGTTGTTGTTTATGCCTGAACTATACCTGAAAATATATCTCAAACATGATGGTCTAGTGCAGATAGTATTCTTCAATAAGCTATCGAGATATCATCAAAGTGAATTAAATAAAGCCCTGAACAACTGTGGAAACAAGACCTTGTATTTCCCAATATTTTCCCAAGTTTATATAAAATTCTACTTAAATGCAGTACTCTAATTTCATTCATTATTAATATTGCCCATGCAATATTGCATGGTCTTACTTAAATTGCATCTAATTAATGAAATCAACAACTCTTTGGGAGACTCGTTTGAAAAACAAAGAAAGAATGAGTACATTTTAAGTGGAATAATTGAAGAAATCGTATATTCAGCTGCTATATTGAGAACTAAAATAATATTTCATTACCGCAATTGTCTTCGACTTTGTATAGCCTATATACCGGACAAAACCCAACTATTAAAAAATGATCATAGCATTGTTTTATAAAAATGTTGTGTATAGATATAGGCAATAAAAGCACTGAATTGTTTTGAAATCTTATTGATCACGTGTTTAGTTTACTAGTACTATCATTGAGCTCTATATAAAAAAACACATTGAAATTAATACAACTGGAACGCTACGCTATCCCAGTCTTTTCACGCATGCGAAGAGCCCTTAATCAGTCAATCATCATATATAATTAGCTAAGCACGCGTGTCTGGGGTTCAAGATTTGGCTTAGGCAGGCAGTAGCGTTCCAGTTATATTCATTTCAATGATAAAAACAAAAAAGACGTAACCGCTGTCACGGTATGATTCGCAATGACTCGTCATCAAAATGCTGTTGCCATGTTCCTAGCCAGTGCGGTTATGAGAGGCATTCACCCCCCTGAATGTCTGCCTTTTTGAATATTTTCAGGGGGTGAACGCCTCTCATTGGCGCACTCGCTAGGACCATGGCGACAACATTGCAACAATGATTGCAACGGTTACGCCAAAATGATACGCAAAACCAAGAAGTTGACCTTTTGTAAAGCCTGGTTTCCATATGATCGTAAAAATTGAGTCATGATCTTTCTCAACGGCTAGTTTATAATAGCAGGTGATCTCGTGTTCGTATTTTAGCCAATCAGCGTTCAGAAAGGGGTGTCCGAATAGAAATCCATTTTGATGTATTCAGTCAATTATATCTTCCGTTATTCTTTATGAAACTAGTTGAAATTTTGTAATTATGTTTGGCTATGAGAACTATAGCTCGGACAAAAATATGGAATCGAAATAGAGTATATTACAGGAGATATTCAGTTGTTTTAATCATAAAATGGATTTCTATTTGACAACTAGTGCCAGTACTTTTCCGCGTATCAAGATCATCTGGTAGTTTACACCTATAAACCACATATAAATCATAAGTATTCTCTAGTTATAATCACTCCGCGTATTTTCAGTTCTAAAATGTTGTATTTCGGCTGATGAGAAAGATCGTGACTCAATCTTTACGACCGTTACGACATGGACATTGGCAAAATGACAATACAAAATTAGTTTGTCTCATTTAAAAAAACTCTTAAAATTATACTGTATATTAAACTCTATTACCGATTTGTCATATCTTGCTTAATTCTCGAAATATTTAGTCAGACCGAAATTAATGAGCTGTTCGCCATTTTGGACTAATTCTTGACCTCATTAACTATGGATTTGATGACGTAAGGAGTTGGGTTAACCATATAAAACTATTCTAAAATGACCGAGTAACAATCCACAATCGTTTGAAACGTTTTTAATCATTTCTAAATTTCAGACAGTAACCAGAAACGAAGTTTTGGACCCATATTGATCGCTTACTCTCAAGATAAAAAATTAGCGTGACCCCTCTCTTGACGTATCATGCATATCCTCAATAATCCAAGATGGCGAAGAGCTCACTTTTTTCAGTCGAAGTATTTTGAAAACTTATAGCAAGATATAAACAATTTGTAATAGAGTTTAATATTTATCACTTATTTACTGAGACCTCGGGAAACAGTGTGTTTTGTGGACCACAAAACAAATAAGTGTTTTGTTATATAGTAATATAAGTGTCAAAGTATGAATAATTCACCGGTTATTGGAGTGAACTTTGAAACCAAAACTAGATAAATGGAATACATAAACGTTATTAAAAAAGTTTAATAAAATGAACTTTGGAACTTCACGGTTGACGCGCATGCGCACTGTACCTTTCTATTACTGACCGGTCAATAATTGTTTCATTGTACTAAACTATTTTTTATTGCCAATGTCCTTTAAATTTCCTATTCTGTGTATATATGGAGCTCGCTGACTACAATCGTGCATAAATGGTACTTATAAACAATAGTACTGTGTTCCAACTTTATTGAATTCACTCATTTGCCTGTTGCCATCTGTTTTCCCCGTGCAGTGCGCTATGCACAAGTTGTGAACAGTTTTGTGACAGCTTGTTACAGCTGAACAATGTTGTAAACAAGGATAGTTCATTAGTAGTACAGCCCTGTTCACGTCAGCCAATATTAACCGCGAACAGATTGTGCGTTATAATTGTTCCGCGTGTAGAGATTATATCAAAAAAACATCACCATTTCTTATTTGTCTTTCCAGCTACAAACCGATTCCAGATAAACCGAAAGATCTAGAGATCAGTCCTGCATCGAGTCCGACAACAAGCCCCACTGACACTATGAAGAAAACCAAGCTATCTCCAGCCGAGCGTGGACCCGCAGTTCTTAATGAACTCATTAATGGCATCAGAACTATGAAGTAAGTTCATTAATTGAAAATTAAACTTGGTTGCCATTTAGGCTGTTTTAATGAGTACATTTTGCTTGGAAGTTCGTCCGAGTGGCATGAATCATTTCTGTATCCATTTGACTGTATGTCCCGCCTAGGTGCCGGTGGGACGACATTATATAAATATGGCGTCTTTTAAATATTTTTTGTTGTAATTAAACAAACTGCAGCTTGTATTATGATTTCAAGCGTGTCTGTCTAGGCTATTAATGTTTGTATACAGGGTGTATAAAAAAAGAGACCTTTAGAAATCAAGCATATTGTTAAAATTTGAATGCGTGAAATAATGATGGGGTGCATATATTAGAAAAAGGAGACCTTTAGAATTTGAAATAACGTTTAAACAAAAGATTGTCTGCTTCTGGGAACAATCTGCCATGCATACTGTACGTAGGGCGCATGTTTAATACGCACTCGTGGGCTTAGCAATTATAACAAATTATTTTCAAATTATAACAATGGTTGATTTCTAAAGGTCTCCTTTTTCTAATATATGCACTCCATCAATATTTCACGCACCACGGTTCAGCATATGTGTAATTGAAAAGGCATTCAAATTTTAACAATATGCTTGATTTCTAAAGGTCTCCTTTTTTTATACGCCCTGTATATTTTCCGACTATGCGCTTTGATACTATATTATGAGTCAAAATCGGCAAAAAATGTTCATCCCAGACCCAGTCACGTGGGATGAAGCCTTTATATGGAAAATTTTATTCCACTTTATTCTCATATATGAACACAAATTTTATGTGCGTTAACAAAGGGCATGTAGATCTAAAGGCGGATTTCCATTCAGTGCAAAATGTTGCGCGATCGACGTTTTGCGATCACTTTCTTCTGAAATACAAGCAGGTTGACTGAACACATTTCAAAAGAAATTGATCACAAAAAGTAGGTCTCGCGACGTTTTGCACTGAATGGAAATCGGCCTTCACTCAGGTGAGTTCACGGTTAGCTAGACTCATGTGAACAGGCCCTAACTTCAGTCAGAGATTTCATGTGCGACAGGCTTGGGGCCTGTTCATATGACTAAACGAGCCCATTCTCGTCCACGCTCGTTGAAAATTAGGCTCTGGGTTAGACGACTAAAGGAAGAGATCTGATTGGCTTCTCAGAGAACTGCTATTTCCCAAAAGTTGAGCAGTTTTCGCTAGGCAAAATTATTCTATCAAAATATGTCAACACAAATACTTCGTTTCCTCATGATACTTCTCTGTGACAATTGTCACGCTTGCTAAAGCGTCCCAATTCAAGAGACTTTCTTGCACTTCCGGTTCCGTGTATCCCGGCCATTCTCAGGGCCTATGAAGGTCGCGCGCGGCTGAGAGGCCCTGGGAACGAGGATGATGCGAACCGCATCGTCCCCAGGGCCTCTTGGCCGCGCGCGTCCTGCCTCCTCCGCAGGCCCTCGTTGCTTCATGGGAAGGTCGCGCACAATCTGGCGAGGGCCTGCGGTATCTTGTAAAAAAAAATGGCGCCGGCGTCACGTCAGCAAATGAATTTATACATAATCTTGAATATAAACAGGATATAAAAAAGCGGCGTGAAACTTGTAAATTAAAATGGCGACTCTTAGGACGTGGAAGGAAGCATATTTTAACGATAAGGTTTGTTGTCCACACCAACGTTGCACGAATAAAACTGCATTCTTTAACGAAGCAGGTTTAGAATAACATTTATTCATTTTACAAGATTCCGCAGGCTCTCGCGAAATCGTGACCTTCCCATGACACAACGAGGAGGCAGGCGCGCGTCCACTCTAGGCCCTTGGGACACAAGGAACCGGAAGTGCAAGAAAACATGCGGTAGTTTCTAAAGCACACGCTCTTTAATTGGGAGCACCCGTAACAATTTTCACAACGAAGTATTTGTGTTGACATATGTTGATAGAATTATTTTGCTTAGCGAAAACTGTTCCACTTCTGCGAAATGGCAGTTCTCTGAAAAGGCAATCGGATCTCTCCCTTTAAATCGTCTAACCCAGAGCCTAATTTTCACCGAGTGACCGAGTGAAAATGGCTCTGGGGACGAGAATGGGCTAACCTGAAAACTCACCTGCACGAGATATACATGTGCTTGTTAACGCACATAAAATTCAATATGTGTTGATATGAGAAACGAGCCCGGCTAGATTTTGCCTTGCGCTAGGTGGGATCTCAGTCACGTGAAGTGGAATGAAATTCCCCATATGAAGGATTTATCCCAACTGACTGGGATGGAGATTTTTTTGCCGATTTTGACCTATAATATATAGAACGGCACAATTGGAAAATAGAAACAAAAAATAAACATTAATATACCTAAACAGACACGATTAACTATTTGAATGATTTGGATTATTGCACTTCACTTGGTGGAATTAGTAGGTTCAATTCCTACCAGAGGACCTTGTGCTGCATTTTCGCAGTCGTTCCTGGTTAGGTCTTAAAATGTATATATTCCACTTGGATTACAAACCCTGACATTCTACTATTAGCTATTACATGTAAAGTCGTAATACAAGGTGCAGTTGTTTAATTATCCTTTCTCACGCCCCCATTTTTTGGGTGGCTTTCCAGCCGTAGTCTGCGAGATAAGTCCGTATAACAGTGACTTTTTTATAATTTTTTTGACGAATGATGGTAAATTTGCTTTGTAAATGGTTAGGTTTATTTTCAAAAATTACTTGTCACATTGTTTTAATTGTCTGCGTTGGTTAACGAGAATTGGATGCCACCCAAAAATGGCAATTCGTCATCGTGGGAGAGGCTAAATTACAGCAAAAAAAAAGATTGCTCGAAGACGCCATGTTTACAAATGATGTCATCCTACCGAGGCGGGACATTATGTTGGATAAAAACACTTATTGAACACGGAAATAATCCAACCCACTCAGGGGCTTCCAGGAATACCTGGTTCATGTGAACAAAACCTTATAGGGCTAGTTTTTGTAAAGAAGGTTGTGGCTGTGTACATATTCAGAGCCTGAAATAGAGACCTTACGATTTTAGGACGGCAACGCGACGTCCAAAACAAACTACTCCTTCAAATAAATGGTAGTAAAGATAGTTCGTGGTATATTATCAATCGTATGAATTTAATACAGTTTTAGAAGTCGAAGACATGGGTTTTATGGTTGGGAAGAGTTCTGCTAAACCCTGTTTGAAGTTGTACTTGTTGCGGCTTGGAATGCAGCCGTTGTATCAAGACGTGAAAATCTGTGATTTTAATGCAGCCGTTGTATCAAGACGTGAAAATCTGTGATTTAGCGTTGTAAACAGAGCGAGGACAATGTCTAAATTATTCATATATTGTAATTACTCAATTCTTTTCAATGATCTATTGTATTGGTAGCCGTTGCCGTCCTAAAATCGTAAGGTCTCTAATAACGGTAGTACATCGAACATTTTCCGACCAAATGCCAAATTGGTCGGACATTTTGTCCGGGCAAAAAATAGCAATCAACCTTCTTGAGAACCATAAGCTGCATGCAATCCTCCCGCATTATGTAGAAGATTGAACTTTACTTGGCTAGTGTATTAAAGTTACATAAAGTGTTATTCACTATATATTGGCTTAATTTACCCAACGAAGGCATGAAATCAAAATGGAATCGAAAAAATTCCCGACCAAGTTTTGAAAGTTTCCGATCAAATTTCATTTTGGTCAGACATTTTTCCGGACAAATTTTGAGCGTTATCTCAGGCCCAAATCACAATTCTATATATGGATACTCTACATAATATTGCGGCCATAAAAGCAGATTTTGCGCAATATGTCGTTGCCAACTATTATAACACTTTAACAGGATGCCAGTAATATTGAACCACTTTGTTCATGAAAGAAAAGGCTTGGATTTATAAGTATTTAGATAGGCAATACATAAACCACAAAAATTACAATATGTAGGTAACAAAAGTCTTCTAATTTTAGACAAGAAATGTCATATAAAGCGAAGGAACAGTCTGGGAATTCGGATGTCTTTCCAACCAGTCCGACAAGTGATAAATCATCTTCGTCTCTTTCGCCGACTTCCACATTGTCTCGAGGGAAACGTAAACATAGGAAGGGCTCAGACAGAGGATATGGCTCGACGAATTCGAGTTTATCGGAGTCAGGTAGGCTTGATTTATATACTGTATTGATCTGTGTTTCTGTATGTGCTTTATCTTTGGATCTGTATGCTATGTTTTCACGCCGGAGGCCTATAAAGTATAGTTGCAGCATTTTCACGTCTGTCAGGCGTACCGTCTGGGGGCCTCTGTAATTGTGTGGGAATTTTGTACTGCAGGCAAATCACTAGCCTGCGCGCAGACTATATAATGACGCAGGCAGGCAAATCACTTGGCTCGATGGGTTAAGGGGGAACCTTCCCATCCGCCTCATGTGCCGAACGCATTATAAACAATAGATAATGAGGCATTTCAGCTGATTATCTATTACTTAACTCGTCGAATAGATGATTTCACCTGTTGACTAAATTTTGATCTAGGGAAGCCTCACATATCGATTTCGTCCATGAGAAACGTCATATGTTCGTTTCTCTGGAGACCCCCCCCCTTAGAAACGTCACACATAGTTATCGATATTTTGTTCAATATAGTACATAAGGTAATTTTCTACTATTTTCTACGGTCGGCTATTGGCGATGCTTCCGCGAGAAATATGTCATCTTCTGCTGACATATCTTTTTTTATTAATATATATGAACTTCAAAATTTCCAACGTTTCTCAAAACAACTTTTTTTTGCATGAAATATTGATAATTTTAGCGCGGTTTTCTTGAAATTTGAGTGTTTTCAATGCAAGGAAGGCGTAATAATATAAATGTATACGTGTAGAACAGGTATGGTATATTACGAATGTAGGCCTGCTGGTGTTTGTATCAAGTTGTTTTCTTTTTTCTACTCTGCAAAGATGATTTCGAAATGTTAAGGCTTTCGAAAAAACTATCGAATTTTTCCATGATATTTACAGAGAAACGTCACAGCTGCAAACCCCCCACCCCCAAACGAACATATGACGTTTCTCGTGGAAAAAATCGATATGCGAGGCTTCCCCTAGACAAGAAGATTCTGAACAAAATCCATCAGCACAGCTAGAAAGAGCATGTTAAAATTAGTAAAATTGCAAAGTGTGGTTGCGAAATGTTGTAAAATGCGAAGAATATAGCCCTGCGAAATTTCACTTTCGGCCCAAATTTGCAAATTTCGCAGGGCTATATTCTTCGCATTTTACAACATTTTGCAATCAAGCTGTCCATTTTTACTAATTTTAACACGCTCTTTCTAGCTGTGGTGATGGATTTTGTTCTTCTTGCCTAGATCAAAATTTAGTCTAGAGCTAGAATCATCCATTTCAGTCGCGTCGAATGCAATTCAAACAATAGATAAAAGAAGCTTAAGGTTACTTCACACGATGAACGTGCGTTATAGTCTATTGGACATTGCGCAACGAATTTTAGGTGTAACTTTACCAAATTTTCAGTGAAGAAAGCCAGGAAAAGGGTGATTTCGAAAATTTTCATTTGATCGGTGTTCTGTTTAAACATTTTCAGTATTGGCTGACTGAGTAAATATGTAGGTACCTTTATAAAAAAATCAAAGTATGTTTATAGTTTATCTCAACGTTTGTCCAGATATCGCAATTCGAATCTTCATAGGCATGGTAATTAGGCATAGGATTTGTCACTGATAATTCACGAAGTTGTCAAAGAAAACGTCATATCAGAAAAACCATTGAAGAAGAGAAATTTTCCGCACTCGTTTTTTTACCGTACCTATGAAGATTCAAATCGATATATGTAGACAAACGTTTAGGTAAACTATAAACAAATTTTGATTTTTTTGGGACTGGCCTATGTATTTCTTTAGTCAGCCAATACTGGACATGTTTAAACAGCAGAACACCCATCAAATGAAGATTTCCGAAATCAGCATTTTATTGGCTTTCTTCACTAAACATTTGGTAAAGTTACACCTAAAATTCGTTGCGCCATATTCAATAGACTAAAACGCACGTTCATCATGTGAAGTAACCTTAATGAGGTTTATCATGTCATTATCTGTTGTATTAATTGCATTCGACGCGACCAAAATTCGACGTATAAAACGGGCCTCAGAAAATGTGGACGGCAATTTTGTAACTGTGGGCGAAAATTTAACTTTTTCTTACAATGAGCTTATTAGACTAGCTACTATTGTCAATAAAAATGTTAAATTTCAAGTTCACCTATACCAAATATAATCTGAATCAATAGAAAGGTTGCAATAAATCCATTTGGAGTTATATGTGTGGTTAAATCTGCTAAAAATAGCATTTTTCCAATTTTTTCGTTATTTTCCACACTTGAAGTGTAATAACTATACGAAGTTCTTTTTGGTGAACTTGAAATTTTACATTTTTGTTGAATATGAATTGGACCAGTTTTATGAATAAACGTTCACTAACAAATGAGTGTCACAGCCATCTTTCCTTCGATAGGCCATGGTAAAACCCACCTATACCGTTCAGCTATTTCCATTTTACGAACTACCTATTAGAATAGTGAATAGACCTTTCCCCTTTTAAGTGAAATTTTGATCTAGACAAGTCTGGACAAAAATTTCATCACAGCTTGAAAGAGCATCACAAAATTAGTAATATTCCAAAGTTTTGTTGCAAAATCTTGTAAAATGCGGATAATATGGCCTTGCGAAGTTTGCCGTTTTTCAGTCATTTTGTATTACAATATTATTACAGTATTTGTAATACAAAATGACTGAAAAACGGCAAACTTCGCAAGGCTATATTATCCGCATTTTACAACATTTTGCAACGAAACTTCGGAATATTACTAATTTTGTGATGCTCTTTCAAGCTGTGATCCAGACTTGTCTAGATCAAAATTTCACTTAAAAGGGGAAAGGTCTATTGGGCGTGGGAGGGAGGGGGGGGGGAGTTTTTTGCCATGGTTTGCTTTCGTGTTGTGATATATTTTTACTGCCACTTTCTGGTTGTATGGATTTTTGTTCAGAAATGTTTTGCTTGTTTTAATTTTTCCGTGCCCCCCTTGACTTTTCCAATGGTCCGCCCATTGTATTTCACAATCGTAATAAACTATATATATAAAATTTAATAATGGTTAATTAATTCAGACTTCCGGTCTATTAAGACTATTAACATTATAATCTCCTTGATCACAAAAGCACAGCATTCTGAGGTCAAGAGCTATAGAATGAAAATTGCACCCCTGCCATGCGGTAAATTGTTGATGTAGGTTTGAAAAGTCTAGAAACGGTTTGATCAAGTTTAAACATTTGCCTTAAACGTTTCAGAATTTGGGTAAAATTATTAAGTGACATATATGGTTTGAACGCATGTTATACAATGGGAAACAACCGCTCTCGTCATAATTTGCGGCTCATTTGTAATCCTTGCTTTGTTCTTCATTATTTACCATGCATCTACGCCTGATTAATATTGTGGCATTATAGAATATAGTCAAATAAAGTGCATATATGACTTGAATGCATGTTAATTATACAACGAGAAAAGCATCACTGTAATATAAATAAGCTCTATAATCTTTGCAATATTTTTACTATTAAGACATAGTCATAGAAATATAAAAAAAAATAGTTTGTAATATGAAATCAATTACCAAAAAGAATTCATGATTTCTCTATGGCTGACAGCCAACTATGAAATCATCATATCAACTCAATAGCTGACGAAATATGATGGAGTTTTGACATAATATTCAACGCCGTAACGTCATAACGCTGATACTGTAGGAAAAAAAATTGCATCTCAGTGATCCAATGTAATAAAAAAATGCTGCACGTATATGTCACGCCATGCCAATCAGCCAATGACAGCTGCCGAAGGAATGAGGAACAACCAGCTTCTTTATACAACCGGCTGCTGTTTCATCTTTTAAATAAATCAATTATTGAATTCGGTTTTCGCATGACATGATGAATTACAGTATCAAGGCCTCATGCAGTATGTGTTTACCAACCTCAGCCTTCGGCTTCGGTTGAAGACTCAAAGCTTGATAAATAATCGAGACCATTTCAAATTATAATTCTATTTCCTTTTCCAGAATATAAAACGTATAAAACATGATTATTTAAGCAAACTTTCTTGCATTCCGAAGGTCTATATTTTATTCCCACTTTTCATAAACTTTTACAAGATATTTTACTTAAAAAATTATTGTTTTCATTGTGACATGACAAACACTCGAGTGATTACGCATATTCATTTGTAAGACAATATGCGTGACTGAAATATGATTAAAAAAGCTTTTTTTTCTTTCGAGGGAACATAATTTGCATAAAAGTCGGATAAATAATTGTGTGGGCCTGTAATTAAAGTGTTTTCGACCAGAATAGCAACGTTGGAAAGGTATATTTAGTAGAGGCCCGTGAGATTTTGAGAATTAACGAAGAAGTGCTGAGTCTGGACAAGTAGCGCGGTAGCAGTGTTTATTCAGACTTGGTATTAAGGAAGTGAGCAACACACAAGTTTTCGTCAACTATTTTCTCGTAATTTCTCCGACATACGGAAACAAAAGCAAACAATTCGACTCGAAGGACCGAAGGCTTTACTATAAACATTCGAGAATATTTCACGCACGTTCTAAGCGATTAATATCGGGATTAAAATCGTCATTTGCCACGAAGAAAGATGACTACAATGAAGGCAAGCGATTCCCTTGATGATTTACTTCAGAAAATTCGTCTCGCTACTCGAAATTCTTACACCTTGGACGTTGATACTAATATTTGTCCTCATTGTGGGAATAAAAGGCATTCAAATCCGTATGCCAACCTGAAAGGCTTGTCTGGAATAGACACAAATGGCATTGAAGGTACTTTATAGTTTTAAATTTTGACTTTGTGCTGGGATAAAAATCGCAAGGGCCGGCCGGTCTTTGTTGATTATTAGGCTTATTAAACGTCGCTCTTTATTAAATATAGAAGTTTGATTTATTACAAAAGCGAGTTAGGCGTTTTGGGGCATTTTATATCTTTAAGAGTGCAAATAATATAGGTTTTAGAATCTATTGTACTTGTTTATTTTAGAGTTTAATAGTCGCCATGTTGTTTGTGAATTTTTAATACTTCATGTGAGAATATTATGTCGATGATTTTAAATATCTGTTAAATATTATTAATATTAATAACTAAATTCTTTGATTAATAGAAATTTTTAATAGAACTTTGGCCTGCCACCATTACAAAACAGGAAAATTTTGTCAATGTTAATACATGTGTGTCATATGTATGTGACTGATTAAATTTAAAAATTTAATGCCATTTAAGATTTTAATGTAAACATGGGTAAAATATAGAATTCAATCATTAAATTAAAAAACTCCTACTGTCCCTATTAATTGAATTGTTTCGTGGGGGTAAAATTTTATCACATGGTAACACTTGTCAGCTGTCGTGTTTTCGTTATATCTTGTATTAAGCAATAGGCAGGACACAAAGAATCGGCTAGGGTGGGTCTAATTACCTAATGGTTTATTATCCACAGAAAGCTTTAGGCTTAAATATTTCATGTTTATTTTGTTCGCTTATATTCGTTGGTTTCCTGTATTCATTAGGGATGGCTGGGTAGGTCCATTTTGAAAAGCGGCACTTGAAGTACTTGTGTAGATCTTGTAGTGTTCTCAACTGAATCTTTGCTCGCTGTAAGAGGACAAAGGCGGCATCCGTTAATAGCTTGCCATATATGGTATTAAGCAGTTATGTTAATTTAATAGTACAATATTGCCATGCGGCTGTATATAGCTCGAGCGACTTAAATAATCTTCAATGATAGAATCGTAAACATTGATGGCATATTGAAAGCTAGAACTCTCTGCATAGGTTAGATGAGCCTTTAAGCTAGACTTATCTCTGGCTGCTGTGGTTAAATGTTAGAACTACGTGACAAGTATATTGATTAAAAACACATTTTGATGTTTTAAGCCACAAAGGCTCATTGTTATTAGAGAGCATATGACTTCACAACTTAATGATTTGAAGACACGTCACTCAAATTTATTATATCAGAGTGTTATAGTTCCTTTTTTTAGGTAGTTCATACACAAACCATGGCAACTTAGGGTTGAATACCACCTGCAATAGACCCCACATTTAAGATATCTTTTTCAGGTAGTTCAGACACAAACTACAGCAGCTCGTTGCAGAATACTACCTACAATCGACCCCCACATTTGAGATATCTTTTTCAGGTAGTTCAGACACAAACGACAGCAGCTCATTGCAGAATACTATAGATCTACAATTGACCCTCACATTTGAGATGCTCTTTCCACAGTAGCATATTGTCAAATACTACCTACACTGGACTACCACATTTGATATAATCTAGCTTTGATATAATTAACTCATATAATTGAGTCTTACTAGACACTATGTATACATGATTCTTATCTAATCTCTTTAATCTCCCTTAGAACTGTTTGTGGAAATCCCAAAGAATCCGAGTGTGAAATTTGATAAAGACACATCGGCATTCTGGTATAAGCCTCATATCACAAGAGAACAAGGTTTGTTCAAGAATCTTTACTGCTAAATATCTCATGAACAATAGTATAGTCTAATTAGCATTAACCAGTCCACAATTTCACAGTTGTGCTCATGCAGTGACATAGCCAGAGGGGGCCTCGAGGGCAAAATATTGGGCCTCCCTTGGAAAATGCTGACTAGTACAATCATGTCCATTATATTTTTATTTCTTGTAATGGAAATTTTATATCTTCCTCTATGTTCAGTGTGACCAGGTTTTTTCAGGGCAAATTACCACATCCGGTTTCAAAAATTACTATTTTCTGTCTAAAATTACCACAGTGCTATATTTTCCCAATTTTACCATATTTTTTCGATATTTTCCCAAAAAATGTTGACGAGGGGGGATTTTTCCGGAGAACCGCCTCGTAAATTAGGGTCAAAAAAATTTTTCCCGACAAATAATAAGTAAAACAACAAATTTTCACCAAAATCGGTCGAATTTATGGTTTTTTCACCAAAATCTATACATTTAAGGTCAGGAAATTTCAAATTACCACAATCGGCCGAAATTGATGAAAAATTACCACGGTAGTTCTGAAATTACCGTAGTAATTACCACAAATTTCCAATTACCACAATCGTCCAAAAATGACGAAAAATTACCACGGTAGTAATGAAATTACCTCATCTGGTCACACTGTCTATGTTTTGAATGTTCTGGATTCGTCTGTGATTAAGTATAGTTGTTATGTGATAAATGGTTATTTAAAATCGCCAAAACGCATTAAAATAGCCCTCAAAATGCTGAAAATGGCAGTCTACAATTTTAAAATTTTCCCATGGGAGCATGCCCTCGGATCCTCCTGAAAGTTAATTGTACTATATTATTTATGCATGGCTAGCATGGGAATCCAAATACATAATAAACAAACTTTATTTGAACAAGCGTTGGGTAAAATTGCTTGGGCCCCCAGGGATTTTTTCACTCCTTCCCTTAACTAGAAATCCTGGCTACATCACTGCAATCATGATACCATCTCATTTTGTCTCTATTTCATTTTTGTTTTCATAGTGCCTTTCGATCCAAATAAAAAAATGGATTTAATAACAAAATTGTCCCCCCCCCCTCCTTGCCAAGACTAGTGAGGGTGTACACAGGGACGCCGGAACGATGTCAAGGCAAGGGGGGCAGATTTTCGTGAGAGGGCACTTTTGAATTGATATATACTAAGAGATGTTTGCAAAACATTGGGAGGATTTTCTATTTATTGGATGATAGGGGTGTGAGAGGTTTCTCCGCCAGGCGATTGTGCTATTCTTGAAGCTCGATGACTGCATTTCTTGCGTTTTCTGAAGCAAATTCGTAAAAGAATCTAACTAACATTTCTGACAATTCGCTATTTCGCCAAGACAATCCTTTAAAGTGAAAGGGCACCTTTGCCCCCCTTGCCCCTCCTGGTAAAGAGCAACGGGGCAGCTGCCCCTCCTGCCCTCCCAGTTCCGGCGTCCCTGGGTGTACACCTCCTGCATGCCCAGTAAATCTATCCCTGAGTTAAACTACTTACCTGATTGTAAGCCCTGTTTGTTTTCATTGTACAGCAATAGCATTGTTGCAAGACAAACCTCCTGGAACATTTGTGATCCGAGACAGTCAGTCATACACTGGTGCATTTGGTCTAGCTGTGAAGGTTGAAGTACCACCAATGCATGTCATTCAGAACCAAAATAAAGACTTTGGTATGTCTCACTTAACTTTGTGACAACGTTTCTTAATTAAGTATACATGTATAGTATATTAATTAAAACACAGTTCAGCCTTTTGACTGATGGTTTTTAAGGCACATTACAACCCTTTTAATAGACAACTTGCATGTTAGACTAATTTTTGATCTGGGCAGAAAAAAGTAAATTCCCGTAAAGAACTTATCAAAATTAGTAAATTTGCAAAATTTGGTTATGAAATGTTGTAAAGTAAGGAAAATATAGCCTTGTGAAGTTTGCATATTTTGTATATGTTTGTATTACGTGCGGAAATTTTACCATTGTTGAGCCGAAAATGGTAACAATTTCCGCACGTAATACAAACATATACAAAATGTGCAAACTTCTCAAGGCTATATTTTCCAAACTTTACAACATTTTGCAACCAAATTTTGCAATTTTACTAATTTCATTATGTTCTTTTTAGCTGTGGTGTTTGATTCCCTTCTCTTTACTTAGATTAAAATTTAGTCTAACATGCAAGTTGTACATTGAAAAAAACTAACTAGGAAAATCAATTAAGCATAATTCAAGATCACTGATCTCAATATTTCTAACATTTTTTTAACATTTTTAATGTTGAAAACATTGAGTTCACTGATCTTGAATTGTGCTTAATTGATTTTCCTAGTTAGTTTTTTCAATAGACAATCCCATTATAGACTAATTTTAAAACTAGGCAAGGAGATGCAAATAATCACCACAGATAGAAAGGGCATACTAAAATTAGTAAATTTTCAAAGTTTGGTTGCGAAATGTTGTAAAAGGCGGAAAATATAGCCTTGCAAAGTTTGGAAATTTTGTATACTTTTGTATTGCGTGCGGAAATTGCTACCATTTTCGGCCCAAATGTGGTAGGAATTTTCGCACGCAATACAAACCGAAAGTATACAAAATTTGCGAACTTTGCAAGGCTATATTTTCCGCTTTTTACAACATTTCGCAACCAAACTTTGTAATTTTACTAATTTTAGTATGCTCTTTCTAGCTGTGGTTTAGTATGCTCTTTCTTTCTTCACCTCTAAATACAAGACAACTGCATGTTATTGTCGATTTCAAGTCACTTTTCAACGCGCGGTTCCCAAGTTCGTTGCAAACTTGCCAATTACGTTTCCAAGTTCGAGAATTGGGCGTGAACTTCGCAACAAAGTTTACAAGTACATTTCAATGTTTGAACTATTGTAAACAAATGTTCATAGACATATAGTTCAAGTTGAAATTAACAATTCAATGGCAATTCTTGGTCCAGTGGGCTACCAAGAAGGTTTGTACTGTATTTCATTGAATTGGTTATTATTATTGCGCATGAACATTTGTTTACAAACGAAGTTCAAACATAACTTTGTTGCGGAGTTCGCGCCCAATTTCCGAACTTTGAAACGTAATTGGCAAGTTCGCAACGAATTTGGGAACCGCGCGTTGAAAAGTGACTTGAAATCGACAATAATAATAATAATTAACATAATAACATTATAACCAGGCGACGGTTAATTGATAAAAAGGAAAAAACGTTGTGTTTTGAAACCCAATTAAACCGATGTTGTTCTAGGCAACGGAAAACCGGCAAAAAAATTCGGAAAAAACTGTTTGTTTGAAACTTAACAATATTGAAACAAAACGGCAGCTTACTGAGCTTAGTTAACGTTTTCTGACGAAACTTTCAAACGTTAACAAATAGTACACCCAACGGTGGCTTACCGCTTACATATTAAGGCAGCACTACACCATTTATACATGAACAAGCTTTTAAACCATTACAATTTCTTTTAAAACTGAAGTCATAAACGTGTGGCGTGAAGTTTAAAGGTGATCTACAGTCCGATCTGCGCATGTGCACAAATGAGCCCACTTTTTATGATACAAACAGTTTAACTATGTTTTGAGTTCTTGAAAAGCCTGATTGTTGTTTCTTGATCATTTATTATACTCTAGGAGCTTGAAAATATAAATAGTTGTCGAATAAAGCTCAATATTTTGGACACAAAAATGTAAACAAAGGCTTTGTTTACATACGGACTGTAGATCACCTTTAATCTAACTATAGTATATATTTTGACATAATTTATAAAAATCGTTTTTCTCAGACGATTTTCGGATTGGCTTCTGCTCTACAAATAATTCTTGATATCGCGTAATTATGACGTCATCTGTAGATAAAGTTTTCTACATGTAGTTCTCTGCATGTAGATATCACATCTGCAGATGATAATTGCAACACCTGAAAAAGCCAGCCTGTTTACACGAAGAGAAAACAACGCTATGGCGTTATTTGCCGTGGTAACTGAGAGCAATTTACAAAACAAGTGCACGAAAGGAAACGGAAAACATTAAACGAGTTACAAAGACAGTATATTGAGAGTTTTCAACGAGTATCTTGAAGTGAAAAAGATAAAGCGAAACTTAAGAGCAATAGATTGTTTCCGAAGTCGTAAAACTGTTAAACTAAAACCTTTTTCTTGTATACAGGAGTATATCCTGTCCTTTGCCACTAGAAGTAACGAAAAGTCTTTACAAAAGTTATGTTTTTGAATTTATGTTTTTGAACTTTTTTTCTACCCCTTGACTTGAAATCACAATCTTTATTCGCACATTTTCAAAACTACTGTAATCAAGTAAGTTCAAAAACATAACTTTTGTTAAGGCTTTCTTTACTTATGGTGGCAAAGAACAGGATATAGATATACCATCTTTTATAGGGGTGGAGGCAGTTTGTAGTGTCCATCCCCTGTATGTGTGTAAAAATAATTATGGAATTCCGTTTTCGCATGATATCGAGAATTATCAAGACTTCAGTTTGTGTTAGATAACACAACCTCGGCATTCATAATTCTCAATATCACGCTCGACCTCATCCAATAAATAATTATTAATTGTTTTTCCTCTCTAATAACTGTTGGCTTTCCTCCTTGGCGAAACCCATTCGCGATGATTATGTTAATTAACAATTATTCGCCGAAGGCGAGGTGAATATCGCTGAATAAAAACCGAGACGAAGTCGAGGTTTATTCAGCGATATTCACCGAGCCTGAGGCGAATAATTGTTTTAGTATAATTACAAAGGTGATTATTTGAAAAAAAATAATATAACACATCTCAATCTTTTTTCGTACGGCGGTGACTTTAGCTTTCTATATCCAGGGCCGTTCATATCGCCATCAAGAATGCTTTTTGTAGTAATTTCCATCACTTTTTCCTTATAGAAACGTAGAATTTTGATAAACATTTGTTTATTCCGTCAGTATTGATGTCTTTAAACTCATTTGTGAATTCTGACTGTCGTTGAAACAAATCTGTTGTAGAAAATACTTTTTTTACAAACGTAAACAAATGTCTAAACTATTGTACGGCAACTTAAATAAAACGGTGTTTTATGCGAAGTAGTTTCCCCATCTCGTAGTTTCCCATCTCGAAATACTTTTAAGCCAAATTTTGTCACTTTCGTGCTTTTAGGTACAGTATTTTCTTTAAAATTTAATTTATTTCTTCATCTGTCACTTCGACGAAACCACTCGCCGCCATTTTGAAAAATCCGCTTAGGTGATTATCGCGTAATAATCCGAGGTCGCTTGACCAATCAGCGGCCACAATTTTCGATAATCACCTTTGTAATTATACTAATACTGTATACTTTCCATTATTTTAGAGCATATAGATCCGTCTGAGTTTGTTCGACATCTCTTGATTGAGTCCACTCCTAAAGGAGTTCATCTGAAGGATTGTAAAGATGAACCATTGTTTGGTAAGAAAATTTGCTAAAACTTTAGCATGGTTTGTGTCTGGACTATTTCAAAAAATCAGACACACTTTAATGTCTCTGTAATGTCCTTGCTTTCAACATTAAAACGAAAGAATAGACCTTGCCGATTATTCTCTTTTACCCAATGGCCTCGTTTTCATGTCAAATACTTACTCCTGTTTTGTGCTTAGTATAGGGTTGAAAATTACTTTGTTATTTAGCCTAAGAACAGCAAGAAACAAATTCGTCCGGGAAAACATGGGAATATAATCTTTATTTGCCCCTGACGTGCTAAAATAAGTTAACATGGAAACGAGGCCATTGGGAGCCGTCCAAGTCATGATTCAGACAGATAAGGGTACTGATGCAGTAGCTTATTGAAAAACTTACTTAGTATACATCCACGTTTGAATTCAGTTTGCAGTGGTGGGAGTCAATTTTCAAACAGTTTTCAGCCCGCGTTTACCCTCGCGTACACGCCATGAAAGTTGAACTCGCGCGATTAATTATAATTACACACGTGACTTGTATAGGCGCGAGGAAAGCGACCAAAATGGAAAACGGGCTTAAAGCCCTGGGGCCAGTTGTATAAAAAAGTGATTAAAGTTAACTATAGTTGAGTGCAAACGTCATCCAATAAGAAGCGCGTATTTGAGAGTTAATCACTATTTAACTACAAAATAGTGATTAAAAAAGTGATTAAGAGTTTTATACAACCGGCCCCAGGTCAAATGAGGATGCGAGTTGATAAGAGTTGTAACTCTCACTCGCCTTTGACTGGGACACGAGAGTTGAGGAAAACCTCGTTTCGATTGCCAACTCTGACAAACTCTCATCGTTTGACCAAGTGTTATATCATTCTTTTAGGAAGTCTTGCCGCTTTTGTTTATCAGCATTCATTGACGGAAATCTCGCTTCCGTGTAAACTTGTGCTGCCAACGAAAGGTACAGTAACAGTAAAATAAAATAAAATAAAATAAAATATCTGTTCTTCTTAAGCCCCGTTTATATACTTGCATTTTTTTTCTTCTGATGGTGTGAACGAGCTATCAATGAGTTCAGATGGGGGTACATCTGCTCAGAACATTCATAACTCATCCACTTGTTCACATGCGTCAGAAGAGGACAATCGCGCTAGAAATCGCCGCAAAAATTGCAAATGTAAACGGGCCTTTTATAGTATTGTACGAGATTGTAATACGAAAGTGACTTTCATTGCCTTTGTTATTATAAAATTCATGTCTAGATCTAACGGTTGGGACGTTAAAAATCACAGACAGACAAGAAACGGAGGTTCAACTGTTGACTCAAGGGGCAGGTTAGTTGAATCGTTTGTTTGGCATTAACCATCTTTTAAGGAAGTTAGTTGCTATCTTCTCGTATATAATAATAATAATAATAGTCTTTATTAAAATGCTCAGATACATCCGTCTGAGCTGACAATCGAAAGGTAATTGATCTAGATAGTTATATTTACAATGTAAGTTAAGAAGCGTAAAAAGTTTTAAATACATTAAAGTCTAAACAAAGTTATACAGACAACGATTTATGAACGACCTTTTGAATCTTTCTGTTCTCACTAGGGGGAGTTCATACTCATGCCCTCTAGGCCTAAGTAACCTACTTCTTTTTTCCGGCAGCAGTTCAAGCAATGCATTGTCCTCAGTTGATGTTATTTTGTTCCACAGTTTCTTATCTCTCTTATCACGTATTTCTTTAATGTGTGTTCATTTTGATATATAACCATTCTTATGTGCACGTTTAATGAATTTATCTATTTGGTTCAAATATTTACCGTATATGCCCAATGTTAGCCTATTAATGGCTTACTTTGAAAGACATTGGGTATGGAAGGGATAAAAAAGGAAGATTAAATTTCAAAATCCTCTAATTAGAAAAGCAGTCAAATATATTGACTTAATAGCGATCTACTTTTTTTGGAATTTCCCACCGTCACCAGCCCAAAATTTTCCGCCAACAAAAATTGAAAATCCGTTCTTGGAAACCAAAGTATTTTCTTGGAACAACGTTCCCAGGATCAACTACTATTTCTAGCTCTGAAATGTAGTGCTCTTTATTGTGTTGTCAATGTAGCGAATCAAGCTTCAAAACTTTACAGTGAAATGTCAAATAGTTTCAATGTTCAAAGCAAAGATATCACTAAACAGCGCGTAATGTTTTATTGTTTAGCATGTAACGTGGCGTATCTTGGTTCGTTCAATGTGGAGTCCCTCACAGGACCCGCAGCTTTAAAATATGCAGTAGCCAAGATTGAACCAGGGCGAAAGAACAAGGAGCACGAGCCTGTCTTGGTTAACTTTAAAATCAACAAACAAGGAATAACGTTGACAGACAATGATAGAAAGTAAGTGGGACGAAAACGCGGCTACAATCGTTGACAAAAGAGAGCTTAAACTTCGCGTTTAACGACAAACGTCAGGCAAAGAAAACGCTATTACAAAGCAGTAAAAAGTAAATGGGCTTGTTTTTTAACTAGAATGCTTAACTATTCCTGTGCCATATGAAGGAAAATATGACACGCAGAAAACATTGAATTTGGTTAATGAATAAATAGTCCAGCGGAAAAGTAAAAAATCATGCACTTTGTGAAGAAAGCACCAAATTCACAGGAAGTGTAGACTTTAACATGATAATGAATGTTAGATATGGAGGCATCGCCAAAATTGATGCTGACGGCTTAAAATTTAGAATTTCTTATATTCTCTTATTAAACTCTATTACTGTTTAAAATTGTGAAATTGCAGGTTTACATATAGCAAAAATGACTTGCATGATTAGAAAGCTTACAAAAAACTACATATAAGACTTTTAAACGGTTGATTGATTTTCCAAGCGGTTTTCCAGTTATTGCTATTTAAAAACGTGATAAATAGGCAAAAATCCCGCCAAAGTCCTGGACACTAGCCCTAAAACATATTTTCAACCGCTCATAACTCCAGAGGAGTTGGACAATCAAAGTAACTGCTTAAAATGTCTTATATACAGTTTTTTGCATGCTTTGTAATGACGCATGTCATTTTTGCTATATGTGAACCTGCAATTTCACAATTTTTAATTGTATAAGAGAGTAATAAGAGAATATAAGAAATCCTAAATTTTAAGCCATCAGCATCAATTTTGGTGATGCCTCCATATCTAAGATTCATTATCATGTTAAAGTCTACACTTCCTGTGAATTTGGTGCTTTCTTCACAAAGTGCATGATTTTCTCAAATATCTGTGCATATCCGCTGGACTAAAAATGGTCGCAGTCTACGTATATTTGAACAGCACAATCGGAAAACACAAACTACTTTTTCTTTAATTTTAAGTCTTAATACCAAGGTAACAGTTTGTTCAATTACAACAAAACGTTTTTCAAAGACGCCGTGTTTACATAATTTTATGCCACCCCGGCGAGATATTTGGTGCGAAAAAACAGTCACATGAACACAGAAGTGATTCAACGAGTGTTATAACGAGTCCAGTCATTGATGCAATTTTCTGCGACTCGAGTCGAATACGAAAAATGACTCGACTCAACTTGTTCATTTCTGCCGTAAAGGACTCGAGTCAACTTCAGCTACAACTTGTTCAGGATAAATTCATCAAAAATATTGTAGTTGAATAGGTTGGGAAGAATCCTGAAAGAGCTTAAAAAAATAAAAAGTAATTCTCGATGCATGTCTTCACTTGTAGAGAAATGTTTGATGGCATTTTTGTTCACCTTTTTGTTCATCATACAATGGACCTATTCCTTAATGAGCATTACAAAAGTAGTAATATTCCGAAGTTTCGTTGCGAAATGTTGTAAAATGCGGATAATATAGCCTTGCGAAGTTTGCCGTTTTTCAGTCATTTTGTATTACGCACGGGAAATTGATACCGCTTTCTGAAAAAATGTAGCGGGCCATAGCTTACAGATATCGTTTAAACTCTATATCCATTTTTCTAGATTATTTTTCCGCAAACATTATCCTCTTAAACATGTTCTTTATTGGGGAACAGATCCAGACGATACAAGGTCGGTTTAAAATCTTAAGCATCCTTGACTATGGTATATTATATTGATATGTATAAACTTTTATGATAAGTAAAGTTTGATATGGAAAGTTATGTTACAATAACAACTTTTTTATTTTTTCTTACTCTAGATGGGATCTAACAGAATATGGAGGTGGAAATTTAGCAAGGTGAGAATTACTGTATTCACAAACTTACGCCCGTATTTGAAAAGCTCACTCACACTCGATGAGTGAGTGGAGGTTCAATCTGAGCTTCTCATGAGTGTCAATGCTGTATTTGAATAGCTGGAGGTTGAGTAGTCACCGAGTAAGGTATGACACTAGGCGTAAAAAAAATTACCTGTGGTTCCGGTTCCCGACCGACCCTATTTTTTTCTGCCGACCCTATTATTTTTTCAACGCGATTGACCGTGCGACCCTATTTTCTCCAGGTGGTTGCGGGCTGCTCATACAGCGTGCCAAAATGGCGTTTGTTGTCACACTAATTATTGAACCAAATTGCCTAAATTCGTCCATAGGAAATACGCATCTCTAGTTAATATTGATGTCGGGACAATACTGCAAATCGCCTAGCAAAAAACCGCCAAAACCATGAAAAAAATATTCAAAAAAAAAATTTATTTCCGACCTATCGACCCTAATTTTTTCACGATATGAAACCGGAACCACAGGTATTTTTTTACGCCCTGGCCCTCCAGCTATTCAAAAACAGCTTTAACACTCAAGAGAAGCTCAGATTGAACCTCCACTCATTGAGTGTGAGTGAGCTTTTAGAATACGGGCGTTACTTTTGCTTCATGCATATGACTGGGGGACCTTAGTGGGGTCAAATCTGTTCTGCGCATTTGAGGGTCCTCTGATGTAAACAATACCGAAATTTCGCGTTGTTTCGACATCTTCTAAATTGAGCAAACCAGAACGATGTTATAGATATTAAAGGACATTGGCAATAACCATTATATTAATAATAAACATTTCTCGCTCGCCATATAAATGACCGATTCCTTACTTGTGATATTGTGTATGCTCGTTTAATTCAACCTCTCACCACCAATATTCCCTTTGCTAGATCCTTCGTATTTGTATCAAGAAAATTCGACAGCGATGGAAACGAATGCCATCTCTTTGCGGAGATGGATCCTAAACAACCTGCTTCGACGGTAGTCGATGTTATCACGAAAATAGTCTCGAATGTGAGCTCATGAAACTGCTAAGAAAAGAAAGATCACTTTGGTCATGCGCAGTAAGAAGATGGGAGTACCTTTATCGCCGGTAACAATTATGAAAATCACTTGTCGGTTCTATTTTGACAACGTTTTCTACTCATGCCCAAAGCTATCTACAGTACTACGGAAGCTCTTATTTTCTAAATGCTTGACAGACCAGTAATTTATTGTATATTAAGAAATCTATATATATATATATGAACAACGTTGATATGTGTATTTACAAAGAAAGTGTAAATACTGTTTAAAATAGGGAGTTGCAATCTGGAAGAAAGGAAGTTAGGTGAACAATGTTCAAGGTGGTCCTGGACCGAGGGAAAAAATCGAACGTGAATCGCCCTAGCTTTACATACGATGAAAGGCGTCGAGTTATCATGTCGTCGTTTTTGATGTTGTTGTTTCTGTTGCGTCTGCTGTTGTTCAGTTATTGCATTGTTAGCGTTGTGTTATTTCTCGTTTTTGTTCAAAATTTCTCGGCATTGATCAAAATGTGAGCACGGAATCCTGTGAGGACACGAAAATTTGACTTCCACTACCAATACCTCTTACTAGCTTGGTACCCATCTGATTGGTTAATCGGATATATCAAACACATCTGATTGGTTAATCCGATATATCAAACACATCTGATTGGTTAATCGGATATATCAAACACATCTGATTGGTTAATGCTAGTGGAAGTCAAATGTGACTTTCGTGTGCAGTAGAATGGTACTTATGGTGTTAGAGCCAACTTGCATGTTTTAAGTAATGATTTTCTTGCACTTTTAAATATTTAAGACCGCATGGTAAGGTATTATGTACAGATACATGCTTGCACCTGATTTGATACTTGAGATGTGTATTGGCAATGAACTAAGAGCTTATATTTATGCTGGACTTTCACATATATATACATATACTGAAATGACGTAATCAAAATGACGCAACGATGAAATCATTGGAATAACACAATATTGACGTCATAACGATGACGCTATTGGAATAACATAATGATGACGTCATGTGAAAATTTCAGGTATTAGAGGAAAAAGGTTTGGTTTAAAGCTTTAGTTATATTTAATTTGCGATTCTTTATATGAACTTTCATTGCCAATACACCTTTTAATTTTGAATAAATCAAGTTTAAGAACAGTTTATCTTCTTAATTAATACTGCAAATATATTTTTGTACAATAAATGTTAATATAAAAATTGATTAAATATTACACAATGTTGCAGTTATATTACTTTCTAATTTGAACAGTTTGTGTAACAAAAGTCAACTATGTTCTGATGAAAGCTTAATGGGTTTGAAACCGTCTTGCTTAGTTTTCCAGTTTTAAAAGAAGGAAAATACAACATCAAGGAAGAAATGATTTTTGTTAAAGTTTGGGAGTAAAGCCTAAAGGTTAGTCTTTTTTGCCTTCACTTTTGTTTGATAGATCGTCCACAAAGTAGTTAAAGCCGATGGAATTAAGGTATCCGTACCTAAAATTTCAAAGTTGATGTGGAATTTTTTCATTATTTTTCACGATTTGAATTTGTCAAATTTTGAGCTAAAAATTCGAATTTCGACCGAAAATTTTTTGACGATTCTTGAGCTTTTTGCTAGCTTCCGAGCTATATCAGCTATGTCTTTGACTCCGTTTCGCCGTGGCTTCGCTAACTGTATAAACAAAGTCAGTATTTGCCAAAAATTTCCACAGAAAGTCATTTTTGAAACACTTGGCGACTTGCTATACAAATTTGACAAATAATTTAAAAAAAATTGAAATAATGAAAATTTCACGCGGCTGCCAATACCACACGCGGGCGGATGACGGTAAACTTAATCTAACTGATACCTTGATTCCATTGGCCTTACCCAAAATTTAAAATTTTTAGTCTAGGCTTGACAGTTATAAAAACTTAGTTATGAACTTGCAATTTCTAAGTTCCCTGTTCTTTTGATTAAGAATTTTAACATCCCCCTTATTTGTGAAGCACTGAGGGTAATATTTTCTTTGCCCCCCCCCCCCACTTGACAACCCCCTCTCCCATAAATAATGACCACGCCCTAACAATGTAGCAGTTTTCAAAGGATAGGTTCGTTGCTATCTATTTTTGTAGTTTGTTTGCTTTGTTAGTATTATACATTGCAAGTACTTGGATTCACCACTAACAAGTATTTTACATATATGATTGTGCAGAAATGTTACACAGCGTTGTTTAAGCTTGACTTTAATATGCAACATTCGACACTTCATAACATGCACCTTACTGTACACATCCTAGCTCTATCAGTTGTCGTGCTCCCACAAGAGCTTCTAATGCAATATGTATGTTAACATTATGCTTGTGCATGTTCATAACAAAACTGAAATCTTACAGACTCGTCCTTCACTATGCTGCTTTCGCCACATAAGAGTCTGTAGAGCCATAGTTTCATAATCTCGACAGTCTGTGCCGGTGCAGGTAACTAATTCATGGAAGAGATACAAAGAGAAACACAATTCCCTGAAAAATAGCACAACTTTGACGTTTAGAATGAAGGGCGGTTCCTCAATCCACCCTATCTCCCTGAAGTTCTTATTGTATGTTTCAGGTTGTTCCGTAGTTGTATCTCCCCTCACATTGCACCATAGCTTAACATAATATCTTTTTAACAACATGAATCTTGCAAGCATTCTTAACATATTTTCACAACTCAACAAAACTTGAGTCCTCACTCTGTTAGCCGCAGTGCCCCCACTATGACATGCCCAAGCCGAACAAAGTCTCCACTACAGTAGCTGCAGCATCCCCACTCCATCTGCCACACTCCCCACTAACAGCACCAGCCGACCATCCATTCACGACTGTGCCGCGACCTCTTCTTTGTGTGCTTTGCTAACCATATGTGCTTGATATGGTTTGGGACCATTCAGCTGTTTAGCACAGATCTCACAGTAATATTGTTTGGGTTGATCACTATTAACTGGACCTGTGGTCGTGCCACCATATGCTAGAAACAGAAAACAAGAATGAATTAACCCACTGGAGTTGTAATTCGCTCAAATGCATTGTACAGGGCTTGAAATAATGTTCCCAAAGTTCCCGATCATGGTGATCAGCAGTCATTTCCCTGCTTTTTTAGGTTGGAAACCCTACTTTTCCGCCTATCATAAGCAATTTCTTCTAACATTGATCGGCGATCGGCTGTTATTTCAAACCCTGATTGTATCACAGTGTAAATCACACTGATTATGTTACCTGAAACATAAGGTTTCCAGACCGCTGCGGGTGCATCTTTGAAAGGACCTTCTTTTGTTTTTGTTTCCGCTTGTTCCTCGAGTCTTTTGTTCTCTAACCACGGCAGGCTTGATGGCTTCTCTTCAAGAATCTGAAAATCAATTTCAACATTAGCCCATTCAGAGGGGGAGGGGAGAAATCTGTCTAGAGGGAGGCAGCAGGTCCAGCAAAATATGTACAACCCTAAAGATTCATTGACGTTCATTA